ATTAATAGTATATGTGTAACGGTTTTATTTATTATAGTCACTATTGTGAATTGTTATTTAAGCACAAAATACGTATGATATAAAAACATTCGGTTTTAATTTTTTTTTTTGAGTCTTTAAGTAATTTGCAAATTTATTGTAAACAAAAAGAAAACACAGGGAAGAGAAAGAGAGAGAGAGAGAGAGAGAGAGAGAGAGAGAGAGAGAGAAAGAGCGAACGAAACAATTCTGAGTTTGATGTGTACATATTTTGCGTAAAAATTTTGAATACTGCAGTGAAAGAAAAAGAAATATGCAAAAATAGAAAATTACAAAATAACAGATAAGAAGAAGGAAACCACATCACAGCCAAATGAATTTAAAAATAAATTTTTACAGAGAAGCAAAACTAAGTTATTTCCGGCAGATAATACGCGTTCCTTTTCGTTTTGAATCCTCGTTCAGCTAATTCGCCACGCATGATTTCATAGAACACTGTTATCGAACAAACACAATTGAGAAAGAGATAAAAGAAACTTTGCGCTAGATAAATAACGCAGAATAATGAGGAAAAAGATTAATTTATCAAAATTTACCACAAAAAAAGAATAAAAATGCCAAAGAAATAAATAGAAAAAAAAGAACGAAACTATTAAATACATGTATTCCCTTTCTATTAAACCAAAACATAAAATTATATATATTTAAACTATTAAATGCTAAAGTCATATTCATAATAATGAATAAAAGAGATGATTAAATAATCAATTAATTGAATATTGAAATTAGCCTGTGTAATCAATAGTGATGTAGGTATATTCCAAAACAGTAATTATAGGGGCGATTCTCAGAGATAGTCTATTAGCAGCTAGGGTCGAATTTTGTCGAGATCATTTTCTCTCTAAACTAAACGGTGTGAAAAAGAAAAAGCAGTTACACCTAACTATCTCTTGATGCTAAACCCTATTGAATTTAACGGACATAAAAGCAGCGCTTCCATACAACACTGATTTTATATATATATATATATATATGTATATATATACATATATGTACATATATATACATACATATATGTATACATACATATATATATATACATATATACATATATACATATATATAAAAAGCGCGCGCAATCTCTTCTAACTCTCTTCATTTTACTTATATCTTTATTCCCTTACGTATTTTAAAGAGCAAACAAAAGAATCGTCTCGTATTGTCCACCGTTGCGCCAGTCGTTAAGATCGACAATAGTGCGCGTTATCGATCGCCATCGAGAATACAAGGGGGCGAGATATTAAAAAAAAACTAAAAAAAGTTACTATGTTTCCGTAGACCCCCGTCCTGACGGGAGGGGGTGAAGCCGATGCAATTGAGAGAACTGAACTCACTCGATCTCATTTGAATTTTAATTATGCCTCGACAACAGCCTGGTCCGAATAATAGTAAATTCATACCGTTGGAGAGTGTATGAGAGCGTTGATAAAAAAAATTTGTTATATATTTCTATGCTGGGCTCTTTATCGAGGCAACGTTGATCGATATGAGAATCCCTGTTAACTGGTGAGCACTATAATCGCCGCATTGTAATATTATTAACATTATTACGTTATTATGAAATTGTTGAAATAAATGAAATGAAAATAAACGTCTTCCACATTTCCTTTTCTTTCTCCAACTTCTTTTACGCACTAACACTTTTAATCTATTACATATGATTTAAAATCAATCCAAAATGAAGAAGTAGTATCAAAACGGCCAATGGGAACCAAATGCAGAATATTATGCAATGATAATATTCGATGAAATTCTATAAAAAATGTTTCGACTTTATTTCCAAGCTCTCTTCAGTTGAATTAAAATTAAGAATACAATATAAAGATTAATTGTCAGATGTAAGAGAGATACATACATTAGACAATGTTTATGTAAAGAATTACAAACCAGCAAGTAACAATTAGGAGCACGAAGTAGATTACATTTTTACATTATTATTTATACTGCTTATGAGTCGAGAATAACTGTCAAAAATTAAAATAATACCCTGTATTTCCATTGGCTGTTTTGATACTATTTCTTAATCTTAGATTAACCGTCAAAAAACCGGAGGTCACTCCTCTTTTTATCTCAACTTATTTATTTAAAAGTAATGTTATCGCACAACAAATTGACATGATATCAATCAAGACACGTAATAACAATACACGTAAAAGCATAAAATTTGATAAGTTTTATTGTGTTATTATTTATAAAAAGAACTATTTTTTTAGTTCTTATATTAAAATTTTTTTCTTCGTTCAACATACGGTATAATGCAGTATGTATTATATATAATTGTCATACTATTTATCATGCACCATAAAGTACAAACATTTCGGCTTAACAATATTAATTTTCGGCTCTTATACTTATATGCGCAAAATAATATTTATTCGCTGATAATTTTTCTTTTCGCAGTAGATAAAAGACATATGCATCGGTTAAAATATCGTCTATTATCACTTTTATTAAATCATTAATTTCTCTAACGAATAAAAAATGTCAGCCAAACAGAAAAATTTTTGTACAATGAGAGAATTAGATTAAAACACAGTGTGAAAAGAGAAGAGGTGCTTGATTTCTTTAAACTTTAATTATTGTCCTAAGAATAACATGAGCGTATTTTCTGATTTATCAAACGGAATATCTCTAAGATAAGCTCTTCAGGCACAAACCAAAACACAGATTAATAACTGCAAAGTAATTTTACATTTATAATTAACCAAAGTATAAATAATAGAACTTTTAATAATTTGAATTAAATATAATTCGAAAACACAAATATCATTTGCTTTTTATCATAAATATACAACTCTCAAACCTACTGTGATTTTTTATTATATTCTACTTCTCTCAAGGAAGACATGTGTGACACTGCGTTATCAATAATTAACACATTATAAAATCTTACTGAACATAATAAATTATTTTAAAAACAGAAGAACACACATAATAAAATATAATAAGAACACATATAATAAAATTTATATAAAACTTAACTTAAAAAAATCAGAAATTAAATAAATTAAATAAAATTACATTTCTGCTAGATGTGTTAAAATTTGTGCCTAACACAAATCATATTACATCTAAAGATGTTTTATTAAATGTTTTGCACTTTATTAAATACTCTATCATTATCTTGAGATAAAATTAAAATTAATTACTATTTGCTAAAACAATTACAATAATATATTTTCACAGCAGGAAACTTAAACATTTTTAAATATCGTCTTAATAACTACAACAGTGAACAAGATAAAATATTTATACGCACAATAACTTGATTCATTAAAGAGTTTGTTCGGTAAATTATAAGTCGATCTCGACACTAAAATTGGATACAGAGTTGCGTGTACAACAAAGACTATGTAGTTTGGGTCGAGTTTGGGTCCAGAGTGAACAGTCATGCGTTATATATTAATTGATAAAGAGAAGTACTCAAGAAATATAAAAAGATTTTAATTGCCAATTTAAAGTCTGGCGAATGTACGAGATCTTATTCCTCCTCAGATTTCTCTTTCTCAGAGCTTTCTATAAAAACTATTGTTGGTTGCTCTTGCTGGCATATGAATGTCTTTCATACAGTGTTAAAAAAATTTAGTATTTCTTTGTCCAACAAATGTTTACACGACTGTTTTTTAGGTACTTTCCACATGACTCACAATAAATCTTATCCAGTAGCTGCTTCGAGATGATCCCGAACCAGTTTACTCCAACTGATACATTCGCCTCTCGTTCATCTTTCCCCTTCCTTTCCAAGGCGAACTCTAGAGACATTGCTGTCATAACAACCAAATCCGAATTTCTCTTGGATGACGGCATAGATCGCGTCCAGAGACTTAGCCAGGTTAATAAAATTGTACGAAATATATATTTTAATGGTTTTGGTACTGCCGTCAACGGAAAGATGCTCTAGAGAAATTAGGAAAACCCACTAATACATAATCACAATAGCAAACTTTGCTACAAACAGCTTTAGCGCTCATTTTATAAATGTGCTTATGGAACTTTTTAAGTTTTTAATGCTTTACAATTGTAGTCGTCGTTTTAGTGCTGTTTATCCGGGACCCAAAAAACTGAACGTAATCCTTTGTGAGTTACGTGAACCGAGTATCGATAATGCAAAGTTATAAATAATATACCGTGAGATAAAAAAACTTGCAAACTGCATAAAATTCTATAAAACAGCAATTATAGTTTTACCATACATAACAAAATTTTCGAATCTTATAATCGACTTCTTTCTCCGCTGTACTAAAAACGTTTCTGTCAGAGACACATGTGATTGCTCGACACTTTCTCTATATGAGTAAAAAGTTGATTTTACTCACAACGTTTCGCGTCCCCACAAACACTGCGTCAAACTCATCGACGTGAGTGTCGAGATCGTCGGAATTTTATTAATAAATACTTATTACATAGATAATAATTATTATTATAGATATCAAACGCGAGCTCGGTTACAATGGGACTGGCAGCAGCGCGCGATTTATTATTAAAAATTATTACTTCAAATCCTATATCTAAACCTGTAATTCCGTGTACTTCATCCACATGTATGTAGATGTGCGCGCCTTGGAACACCACGATATATAGAACTTTGATATCGAAAATTTGATCGATATTGGTCGAAGCTGGCCATAAAATCGCGATCACTTAGGTCAGACAAAGAGATCGATTTATTCGTATCTGTTTATTCATATAATTGGTAAAATTTCTATTAGTGTCAAATGTATTTGGCAACTCTCAAACTGGAAAACAGAAAACACACATTTAACGATAAATTGTGTGCCGATATATGAAGTGTAATAAACTTAATAATTATTAACTATTAATAAAAAATAAGGCAATTTTTTATTTATACATAATTTTTAATGTTAAACGTGAGTTTTTGTAAACGTTTAAATAAATTTTAATATAATAATAAAGAATAATAATAAAGAATAATAGAAATATTTATTATATCATTTTTCTAGTTATTTTTTTTTAATTAGATTATGCGATTAGTAATATATTCTAAGAGATAATAGTATAGTTGACTAATTGTAAGTTAAGTTTGTGCATATCTCTCATCACCGTTATATTAGTATATTACAATCATCTCGACTCGGCGTTCCATTCATTATAGATTTATGTTTCTCTGTGTACGATATATAACACTACATAAGCGGATTTTCTCGTTCAACATTCCGCGTCGCGGTAGTATTATCGACGAGTAATGACGTCGGGGAAGACAATACAATTGCAGAAGCAGCATAAGTATAATAATGCTAAGACAATCATTATTTTCATAATGTAACGTATTTTTGATTGCTCGGATTTCTCTACAGAAAACATGCGGATTCAATTTTATTTTACAAAGAAAATTCATTGTAAAAAAATGCATAAAAAAACAAATGGTAATATTAAAAATTATTAAAAAATAACTACAACGATAAATTATTCATACAACTAACTGCATAAAATCATTTTCGATAACGATGGCACACTGTTATTGCAATTTGTGTCGAGCTTAAATCAGATTACTTTCCGCGGTAAAGTTCTATGATTTTATCCTGGTCCACGAAATCGAAAATGTGAGGTGCATCCATTAGTATACCGATTGTGCCAGCGGTTGTCACAAAAAAAAAGATTACAAGTTGCAAACGGTCGATCACCATTGCGACGTATTTCCAGTCTTCTCTCGTCTGGAAGAGAAAAGCATAAAAAAAAATTTTTTTCGAGAAATTATCACACATCATCGCGTTATACAGTGTTTCAGCGAGTTTGTTAAAAATTGTTATATTCTTTGAATAAAACTGATCAAATTGTGATTAAACTTTGCAGAAACATTACTTTTGAGATGACATTTTTTTCTTACAAGTTCAAGGTTATTCAAAGTCATTACGTTTTTTTGCTGATTTTGAGATTTGAAAAATGAGTCGGCGTGATTGAAGTTAATTGGCTAAGCGCTATGATGTTATTTCGCCGAACTTGCTTAATTTGATAATGAGTCAATTCTTAATATCTAAACTTTTTTAAACCTAAGATGCTTATTTTTGCTAATGAATTTTTTTCGTCGAATTTTTTATCACTAGCCAGATAAGCGGGAATATTGCGCAAAAATGCTCAAAAATTATTGTCAGCACAAATAAGATCAATTCTTACGATGTGTTGACTGCTATCAAGATATAATAAAAAGTCAGAGTTTTATCGAGCAATTTTCCTGTTTGTCGTGAATTTTCAGCAATGAAAAATTCTTGAGACATCAGAAATAACTCAATAGACTCAAGAGACTCTGCGAGATTCAGCATAACTTTCAAATGACCTTAAAAGTACGTCATAACCTCAAAATCAGCCAAAAACGAAATGACCTTGAATGATTTTGAAACTTGTAAGAAAAAAAATGTCATCTCAAGACTAATGTTTCTGCAAAGTTTCGTGACAATCTGATAAGTTGTTCAAAAGATATAGCGATTTTCAAGGGGTGCAAACTCTCGCTGAAATACCTTGTACAATAGCCAACTAAATTATTGCGAATGTAACAATTTATTCTTACTTGAATGTACAAATCCTCGTTCCTAAGATGTTCCGCTATGAATTCCACTGCTTCAGTGGCTTTGCTGGCTTCTGGGCTGAGTAACAGCGAATCCGAACTTTCAGACCCTCTTCTGTCGCCCATGCCTTCACCTCCACCAGCGCCGCTGGAGCTGCTAGTAGTGTGATGCACCTTACGATTAATTTTGCAATTCGGATGATGCAAATCGGATAGCTCCATCACTTCCATTTTCGATTTTGCGAGAGAAGCTGGCAAATGTTTCGGTACTTCGGTCGGACTTCCGGAGTATGTAGAAGCAGGCAGTGTTACATTCGGTATCTCCATCATCCATCTAAAGATGTTTAGTTTATTGAAAGTTGTTAAAAAATTTGACAAAAATAATATATAATAGAATCTTAATATATAATAAAATCTATATAATAAAAATAATCAGTTTGCACACCTCAGTCGTGTTTTTTTCGGCCGCCTCATGAACAGGACACATGGTAGAAATTTAAGAAAAATTACGCGTATGAACTGAGGCATTCTATGGGTTCTCGGACCACGGAAATTCCAGTTGATAATGACTACGGTCACAAGAATACTGACAGTATTCATGATGAAGGTGAAAAGCAGATATTTGGCTATCAGTGGCAGCACTAGCGAGGTCGGCGGCAGTATTTTGCTGACCAACAAGAGGAACACAACCAAAGACAGAAGAATACTGATGCCCAAAGTGACTTTTTCACCAGCCTCTGCGGGAAGATAGAAGACGAGTACGCAGAGAAAGGAAATCAAAACTGTCGGCAGTATCAAATTCACCGTATAGAAGAGAGTTTTTCTGTCGAAACAATAGAAATGTTAAGAATAAGTTATGAATTAAATTTTGTAAGTTTTATCATACAGAAAAAAGTAAAAATATCACGTCGTTAAAAACTACGATTGACAGGATGAAATTTTGCACCTGCGGATAGTAATGTAGAAAGTGATGTCTGTATCCGTGGGCGACTCTCCCTTATAAATATTAAGATACGCCGGCACTTGAATGATGTCCCACGTGCCGCTCTTCCAATAATCGGACAAATCGACGAAGTTCTTGTCGTTGTAGAGCGCGAGAGAAACCTGATCGCCGTTGAATGTCCACGAGCCGAACTTCATAACACACGTCTGTTGATCGAAGGGGAAGTACGTAACGTCGATCGTGCACGAGCTTTGATAAATCGCTGGTGGCACCCAGAGCACTTCGCCGTTCGGATATATTAGCACATTGCTTTTGTAACGAACCTCGTAATTGCCATCGGCGCTATCAAAATTAAGTGGATATAATTGACGGTGTATTTTATTTGTAAAAAAAAGATATTCTATATTTTGTGCACATACTTATTGAACAACACTATGTCTGGTTTCCACACTTTGTCAGGTGGTAATCTGAGAACACCGATTCCGCCATAATCTGCTTCGTCCCACTGTAACTGATAGTCCATCCACACAAATCTCAACCATACGTTAGATTTCATAATCTGATTCTTCTCGTTCTGAAAAAAATCAACAGAGTGATAGAAGGACGCGATATAAAAATTCAGACAATAATTCAATAATTGAAATGTCAATATCATCTCTCTCTCTCTCTCTCTCTCTCTTTAATAAAGTAAAAAATCAGGAAGATCTTACCACATTGATCAACTGCACAAAAGCGAGGCCAAACCTCACGTGCACTTTCTCTGTCATATTTTGCACTGGTCGGATGAGCTTATTATATCCTCTGAACAAATCACGCACCAATCTCTCCTCATCCTCAGAGCATAAACCTACAAATACAAAACGTCATTAAAATCAACTCGGTAGATGAAATCCGGAAAATCGCGTGAACGAGAGAAAGAAAGAAAGAAGAGAAGTATCATTTAAATATATACAACTTGCACGTCACTTTGACGTATATTCTCACCTCGATTTTATCTATAAAAACTATGTTACTAATTACATGTGTTTAGAGTATAGTTTATGTCAGAATACTACAGATTTTTAATACAAATAAACGCATTTATCGATAAAAGTGAGGTGAGAATATAGGTAGATCTTGATATTACGCACAACACTGTTGCCTTGGCTATTAGAAATATCCAAGTACTTCCTTCCAAAATGCGTAAACGTTATTAAGTTTCGACTATAAAAAACAGTTCTTACCAATGCACAGAATTGCTGAAATCAGGAATAGCCGCACAAGATGAATGTAAAAATGCATTTTGGGCGGGTTCGTTGTTGTGGTCCCACCCGAGCAGCAAGCACAGTCGCCGTAGCAACTACCGCCGCCGCCGCTATGGATCAATATAGGAGCGCAGACGCTGCCTAATAATTGTATTTTCTTTCTTGCAACCTGACATGTCGTATCTTCTTTTGATAATTATTTATGATTTTCGTCATCGTGCACTCTCAGAATCTTAGGAAAATTGTTGTCGAAGATGTCACATCGAAATTATGTTCACTCGGGAAGAAGCACTACTGTCTGCAGTAAAATTTTCAAAGCTTTGGGATAAACTGAAATATTGGAAGAATTGATAGCTAGAGGTATAGGGGTTGCAGAGCGTTCCTGTCAATTTACTGTTTTACCAAGAAAATCTGTTTACCTTTCAAGTTAAAAAAAAAGCTCTGGACTCTGCATATTAGATGTTCATTACACGTTCAAACATCTTTTACGTTCTTATGAGATCTTTCGAAGTAATTATTGAAATATCCTAAACTTTCAATATGAGTCCAAGCAATAATTTACTTATTTAATTTAATTTCAATAATTAATAAAATAATTCTAAATCTCCTCGTTCCGAAAACTTCAATGATTTACTAAAAAATTATCAGGAGAACATAGCAAAAAAGTGATAACTAACAACGAAGTTTTAAGTTAGCGGAGCAATTCTGAAAATTCTTAGAAAAAAATATCAGGCAATGCTTGGACTTAATTAATCATTTTTGAGATGCTTTGTCTTTTCTAAAAATGTTTGAAATTGTTTCTTCCACTTGAGTTTTTGTGCTATTTCTTCGTTAACCCTTTAGTGTCTTCCAAACCCATCCACAAGTTTTAAACCGGTATCTACTAGGTGTTAGTTTAGCGCGACATCTTAAGGCCATAAAAAATAAACTTTAAATTTTCTATTAAAATCAAGAATATGTCTAAATATTGATTCATCGCTAGAATATTGCATGTCAAAGTTGGGCGCTAGAAAAATGCATTTTTCAAAATACGTCCCAAAAGACCCATTGTGAAAATGTTTTTAATTTTACAATTTTTAGAAGACACTTGTATCCCTGAAAGTATGAAATTCTATACAAAACTGCGTTGGAATGTTGCAAAAATCTTAATTACAAAAAAATTATGAATTTTTAAACAAACAGCCTGTTTTGAAAAAAAATTGTCAGGTTTTTCTTTAAACGCTTATATCTTCAAATCTATTAAAGATTTTTCAATCTGTTTCTTTTTTGATCGACGCAAAATCGTTCAAACTATGTGAACCTGACCGATCAAGATATGAACTTAACCGATCAGAATGTAAACCCTAACCGGGCAGAATGTGAACCTACTCGATCCAGATATGAATCTAACCGGTCATAATGTGAATTTAACCGAGCGAGAAAAAAACCGGTCAGAATATAAACCTAGCCGATCAGAATGTAACCCAAACTAGTCAAGATGTGAACCTAATCGATTGAGATATAAACCTAACCTAACTAATCAGAATATAAATTTAACCGGTCAGAATGTGAATCTAACCGGTCAGAATGTGAACCTAATCAGTCAGGATGTGAACTTGACCTATTACTATGTGAATCTAACCGATCGAGATATAAACCTAACCCTAACCTCTAATCTAACCTAACCTAACCCTAACCTCACAAACTAACTCTAACCTAACAAACTCAGATATAAATCTAAACGGTCAGAATGAGAACCTAACCTAACTAACCTAACCTAACCCTAACCCCAACCTAACCTAACCTAACCTAACCCTAACCTAACCTAACCTAACCGACTTTGATATGAATCTACTCAATCAGATTGTGAACCATATCGACTTAGATATGAACTTAATTAGTCAGGATGTGGACCTAATCAGTCAGAATGTGAACCTAACCTAACCTAACCGACTTAGATATGAATTTAATCAATTAGGTTGTGAACCTAACTAACCTACTCTAACCCTAATCTAATCGGTCAGGGTGTGATTTCAACTTGTCAGAATGTGAACAGAATGGAACCGCACGCTGTGGATATAGCGCGGAATAAAACCATGTCCACGTTTGGACACAGCACACACCGACGCGTCGCTCGTGGACATGGTTTGTAGTTGCTATCGTGCACCACCCATGGACATAGCGCTGACTTACAGGGCAGAAAAGGTATTGAAGTTTTTTATATGGCTCTGGCCACTCTCAGTCTTCTTTCTGATTTAAGAGTTTTTGAGGGATTTAATTCTTAATTTAGGGAATTTTGAAGAATTTCATGACTTAGATTTGGTTAGGTTAGGTTAGGTTAGGGTTAGGTTAGGGTTAGGTTATATTTGGTTAGAGGAAAGTCTTCAAAACGGATTGGCAACACTGCTTTCAAAGATAGGGTGCTTTCCAACAGGCGACACTGTGTCGCCTGTGTACGTAGTTGGAAAGCACCCTGGCTGCGTTCGGGGAGCACGCTATCAGCGCTATTGCGTCACTCTATCTTTGTTTTACATCTAATGAGCAGTAAAGATAGAATGATGCAACAGCGCTGATAGCGCGTTCCCCGAACGCACCCCCTATCTTCGTACTTCGTAGCTAGAAAGCACTCACAGACATAGACTGCGAACTAGTTCGATCAATACAGGAAGATAAAACAAACCTATTATCTCGTTCTTTGGAAACGATTAAATTTATAGAAACTGATCAAAAAAAAAGTCAAAAAAGCCTTCAAAGCTGATTTAATTATAGAAACAAGAGAAAAAAATGTACGTCGATCGGAAGGATGTTATCGAACAGAATTATCGAAAACAATAAATAGAATTATCCAAAACAATCAAAATCTGTAGATACTAATACTGAAAATAATATACTAATATTAAAAGAAGAAGATTATCAAGATCTGTGTACTAATATCAAAGAATTTGTGTAAAAAAGGAAATTTTTAAGGTTAGACATAACCTCTAATAAACCATTTTTGTTAAGATATTTTTTATATTATTTTTATTTACCTTTAATTTACTTCTTCAAATATTTGCTTATATTGATTAGATTAGTTATTATATTTATTGTTATTAATTTGGTTTTTTGTCTAACATAAGTTAGGGTAGATAGTATTATTATCATACAAGTATGTTTTTTACAGATAAAAGTAGTTGCTAAAATTGAAATAAAGTAAAAAATAAAGTGAAAAGTATAAAACGTAATCTTGAGAAGTTTGAGAAAATAAGAAAATTTACAAAGATAAATAGTTTGTGATCATCTAATCTCTCATTTTATGAAAAGCAAACTAAATAATTTTAAACAATTTAGGACAATTACAATAATGCAAGTAGCAAGATTTAGAAAGGTACATGTTTAATTACCAGAAAATAATGTATACATGTATAAGTTTTTCAATTTTATTTACAGATTGGAAAAAGTTTTGAAGATATATATATTTACAAGCATTTAAAAAACAAACTAATTTTAACTAGAGATACTGGTTAAAAATTTTTGGGTGAGTTTAGGAAGCCTATGTCAGTTCCACAAAGAAGTAACTTGAATTAGGTCAGTTCCACAAAGAAGTAACTTAAATTAGGTTAGGTTAGGTTACATCATGTTAAGTTACTGTCTTTTTTTTATCTCATACAGTAAATGTGATTTTTTGCCACATATTCATTTCACTTAAAAAGTAGCGCTTTGAATTCTTTTGTGACCACATACTTGCACAGAACTACAGACCATCTTGAACTGAGAAACAGAAAAAGCAAGATATCAGATGCAAAAATGCTGCCCATAATATTGAAAATTACAAGAAGTATATTAAATGATCACTCAACAAACTTGCTACTTTGGAAAAAAAGTTACAAGAGAAAGGAATTAGCATAAAAGTTTCAGCCTGTAAATGTACTGTGTAAACATAAATAATAAAAAATATAATTCAGATTTATTCTAGCTTTGTTTTGGTTTTTATCGAATCTTTAACGCGTATTATTCAGCAACACTAGGGATTTTGTAACACGAGACCTCTATGTAAAATGAATTTCTCATATCACTATGGTTCGCACTCAGTCAATGATGGCCTATTTTACACCGATCGCTTAATACGCGTATTAAGCACTATATTCGTATTAAATCGGCTTGGTTTCAATAATGCAAACGATGTCATATTAAGCTTGTACGATATACGCCTTCACACGCATTGTATCAAAATCATATGCGCGTATCAAGCACATTTATAATAATGAAAACACCAAAACTATACATTGGAAAACAAATTTTATTTGGTTCGCGTACCAAAAAGATGTACGGTGCAACATAGGCCAGTTTCATCGGCTGAGCAGACGACTCAATCTGAAGTTCCGGAATTTGCTCCTGGAACCAAAATTGGCCATACTATGAATCTTGTTTATAGGACCACTAGACCAATCTTCTACGACGTAGTTGTTGTCTCCTGCAGATTAGCCATATTTCCTTTCGTTCGCTTCCATTTCATACGTCTATTCTGAAACCACACTTTCACCTGTAAGAACACAATTAAATAATATATAAAACTGTAATAGAATTTTTTATATATTTCCTATATACAGTGTATAAAGTACCTGACGTTCTGTCAGATCCAGCGCTACGGCAATCTCGTAACGACGCAAACGCGTCAGATAATTACTGTGTGCGAATTCGCACTCGAGATGTCGAACTTGTTGCTTTGTAAACGCGGTTCTTTCTTTCCGCGGTTTCTCGCCTGTTTTCTTTATTAATTCTGTAATTGAATGGAGCAATAATTGTAATATTCAGAGGATGTCGCAATATGTATACAATAATATGTGTACGTATATAATGTACGTGATGATGGTAAATTGTATGTAATTTTTTTAAATTTCTTCTTTACAAAGATTAAAACTGATGATTTAAATTACAGATCCCGGAATCCTTCTCGCGTTAGGAAACTGATCCAGTTTCCTTTCGGATAGTGACATAACGCGCTCATCATCTGGCTCGATCTTGCTCGCGTGGAAAGTCGCGCGGCGAGATTTCACAGCTTGCCGCTGTGGCGGCGTCAGCTTTTTGTCGCCGGTCAGATTAAAATAGTCGCATGTATGATACGTTAGTGCGTGGCTACACAGATCTCATCTGCTTGCGAAACTCGCTTTCGCCGGGAGCGCGTCTTTTTACCGCGCGGCGACACGTGGAGACTCTCGGCCTCTTGAGGCCGAGCCTTTAGTTTCTGCTTCCGTACCGCTATCAAACAACTCTAACTATCAAATGACGTCAAACATGAGATCTCGTGAAATTCTCATCAATAGTCACTATCGGAATTATTGGTTTGAGTATAAATCAGATACAAATGCTGATATTTGTTGCAAATTGTGTCTCGGATGAAAATTCAATTTACTTGATATGCATATTTATTTTGCATCTTTACTCTTATCTCACTTTTATTTATGTTTATTTTACAAATACAAAGTTGGAGTTTTACTTTGAAGAACTTGCTACTGTGTCAATAAATCAAGTAGCAGAAATAGAACGTATCAAACAAAGTAATAATAAGAGACACGCAATACGACATTTGTTACGTAAGATGTACATCCAGATAGGTGTTTGATAAATATTTACGTTGCACTGGGCTTATTATGGCCGCATTGGCGACCGTCTAAAGACATAAACTTTCAATAGTATTGTCAACGATTTACGAATGATGAAATGTGTTACAATTTGAAATGTTTCAAACTAATTTATTGCACACAGCTGTGCGCGCGCACATTTTGTAGAATTTTTATGCTACACATAATCCAGTGGAAACGTGTAAAGCCCCTTGCACAATGGAAGGAATAGCGATAGCGATAAAAATAACACAGTTTTTAACACAGAATTCCAACTCGTCGGAAATTTTATCGCTATTGCTTATTCCGATTTTCTGATCTGCATTGATACATGTGTAGTTTTGTATGTTAGATTCCGCTGTTCCTACCTTTATTTTTAAATATAAACTCTTTACAACTGGTATTATTTCTATCGCTATCGCTATTCCGTCCATTGTGCAAGGGGCTTAAGTGCGCTTGTGTGCGATTGATTTGAACCGGTGACTGGCTTGCGCGTATTCCGATGTACTTTTGGTAAGAAAAAGAAGGATGCAAATATGAAAAATCTAATAAATATCAATAATGACAAGCAGGTAAGCACTCTGTATGTGATATTATCTGTTTATGCAAAAATTATTGTAGTCGATTGGGAGATTTGGACTTAATACATAACCTCAATATTTTTTAAGTTTGCGTTTAAAATGATTCTTTTCAGTTTAAGATACCATTTCTGTGTGTTTGTTAAACATTTATTAGAATGTGAGATTTTGAAAAGGTAAATAAGATTGAATCAGTTTCAGATGCTATCCTGAATGAAAGAGAAGCCAAGAACTTCTAAAGATTGTTACAGCATCTTTGTTATGTTAAAACAAACCACTCATTGGTGTTTCTAGGATTATACAATCATGAACAAGAAAATTAACAAGCAAGATTCAGATTCGGGTAAAAAAGTGCATGTTTTCCAAACTGATACATTCCACACATACACGTGAGATTTAATTTGTAATATTATGTGTTCCACAACCTTGTACCTATCTAAGATTTTATTTTTATATCACTATAATTTTTATAAAGAATTTATAAGGTGTGTCTAATATGATTTTGTATCTCTCATTGCAAGCAAATTCTAGTTTTGTTACAATACTTGGCTATTATGTGGAATAAAAACCTTAATGTGTTTTATTTGTATTATTTATATTGTTGTTGTCTTTTTAATATATATATTCTCCTTCTTCCCTCAATATCCTTATACATTTCTAATATATTGGGAAATACAAGTTCCATATTACTGGACGTCAGAGTTTCGAAATTAATTCTAACGTCAAATTACATTTTCTTAAGTAAGAAAAGTTAAAATATTTGCACATTATTAATTTTTTAATCAGGTTTAGTAGAATGTATACATATATATACAATATATGTATACATTCTTTAAATGTAAAATATATATATATATATATATATGTAAACCTAATTTTACATTTAAAGAATGTTTATTGAGAATGATGAAACATAGCTTTACCTCGCTCTCGTTGGTACGACCGAGAATTTTGCTCAAATGAATTCGCAAACTTTTCATTATGCTGCGCGTTTTGCCAAGATTGATATTTGCCCCCTTGCTCGTAATTCACAAGTGTGTTTTGCAAATGTGGCATCTCCCAGGCACGAAACATCGTTCCCGTGTTTGTTGTAATTGTTACACGACGATCCTCATTAGTCTCGTATAACTCTTCGGATTTGTTCGGAGATATCGCACTCTTTTCGTTTGCTTGATCAATCATCGAATGATAATTCGTGGCATTGTGTTGGCACTGTTCCCATCTTGCGCGATAAAATAAAATATCTTGATAAAAAAACAATACGCGAAAAAAATGTATGTATTTGTACAAAAATGTATTTATACAAAATAGTGTAAATTTTCTATTTATTTTGAAGAATTACAAAACGATAAATTAAAACACTTTTCTTATAACTTTTTTGTGACTTACATATATATTTCTGGATACACCGAAAAAATGATATTCTCGTAAGTAGAAGATTTTATACTTAAAAAATCTTCTTAAAGATTTTAGATGATATTCTTCTGAAATTAAAAATATATTCTTTATTTAAGAATATATTCTTAATTTAAGAATATAGTCTTTTTCGATAGTGAGATATATATGTTTTTCTATAGAGGGTTTTTATATTCTAATCAGTATATATTCTTATCAATATTATTATTTAGAGGATTTTCCTCTTAAAATAAGAAACTCTTCTTGGCGCCTATTTTAGTATAAAATATACTTAAAGTAAGTGGGATATCCTCAAAACAAGAATACCATTTTTTCGGTGTACATATTTAAAAACTGTAGAAGTTAAGCAATACTTTCATGCATGTTGTCAATGTGTCTACTGTACAAACTCTTACCTGCACGTGCGATAATTTTGACTGTCAGTGTTCGAAATTAAATTCGTAACGTAAGGTGGAGATAATAAACGAATAGTGTCATCGGTTGCAATGTCAAATACACTGTGAGCGTTTGACGGGTTACTCCAAGATTTGTGATACCAGGATGTCTCGCAACCTGTTGCTGATTTTGCAGTCTGAGCTTCTACGTGAAGAGAAGACGGCGTCGGCGGCGTTGGTGGTAATTCGAAATTCTCGGACGTCCGATGATTGTTCAACATTGTGTCCTTCGACCACGACATCTCGACTAGCGCAATGACCACTAATTTTGAGCAGTTTTTTTAAAAACTGTTTGTACATTCGCTATTTTCGCGAGCGTCGAAAGAGAAAATGAAAAAGCGAAGCTGAATTAACAAATTAAGATTAATAAAACTAAAAAAAAAAACCACAAAGCAATTAAGCGCAATAAAATTATAAGTGACAAATTTGTAATGCATTTAATAATTTAAGCGTGTCACTGCAACGTGCGGTAATTTATCCGCAATGAGGAATGTCACTCACAGCACAAGTTTATCTCATAGAATCACTCTGCGTGCGGATCAGTGCGAATTGTCTTAGCGCTCACACGGAAATGTCAAACGAACACATGTGACGGCGTGGTCATAGGGCCGCAAGAACGTCATGGAGAACGAGAAGTCGTAGGAGTAGGGCCACGGAAGCGTCTTCTGTGTGTTTCTCTCCGACGTTTTTGGGACCAATCTCCGAACATTGATCGTTCCTCGCAGCTGAAGCCAAGTGGTCGATGTTCGCCAAAGAATTCCAAATGGTAACACGCAAAGGTGGTTACTGAGTGTTTTACTCTTTGACATTTTACTGAGAATTAAGAGAATTTTAAAAGACAACGTACAAAAAACATAAGCTTCGCGAATACTTTCCAAGTGCAAAAATTATTAGATAAAATAACATTTAAAACAAATGCTGAAAATTTTCAAACATTTTCTAAAATTATTTCAAAAATTGAAAATAATAAGTTTTATTAAAAATTAATTATTTTACACTTTTTAAGTTAAATATTTATTTATTTATTTTTATATTAATTTAACAATATAAATTGATATTAATTAATTTATATTAATATTATTTATATAATATTAATCCTAATTCTCTGTAAATGTTTTTTTCAGTTTACAGCCTGTAAACTTTGGACATTTGTCTGACGCAATTTTGTTATTAGTTAAAATATTGCAAAAACTCTGTAAAAATTTATCGGGTTTTATACAACAATCTATATTAAAGAAATAAAATCTATATTAAGAATTATTAAATCTATATTAAGGAAATTAGTTTTGATATATTTTTTTCATTGTTTAAATATTTTTCCACTAAATAGTTACTAAAATTTTATCATTTTCAAGAATCGCAAGGATTTCCGGAGTTTACAGGGTTAGTGATATTAATATTATTTATATTAATTTATTTATATTAATCTATTTGTGACATGAGACTAGCTAAGTTAAATAGCACTCACTTTTTTTTCCTTTACAATTTCTCTCATTTTGAAACCTAATATTCACTTCCGACGGAGCAAGTTATGTTTATGTCATGTCTCGTTATGTCACATTAGAACAGAAGAAATGATTTGACAGCTTCGGCGCTGTGTTAAAAATGCAAAGATATTTAATAAGACTGAAGAATTATATATATACATTATTATTATTAGTTTTTTAACAGCTAATTTAATAGTTGATAGCATATCAAAACAACACGAGTTTGAATCACAACCTATCAAGAAAAGTGGGTGGAAAGGATGCGACATCAGAGATGTTTTCTCTGTAGAGACGATTCATTCACGAATTTGTCATCAGTGTTTCATTGAGAATGGCCGTCATTATTCCATCATCACGAAGAGCGTAGGTCAATCTCGGTGAGAACCCACCTAAGAAAACACGGGGATGAAGAAGAGAGAAAGAGGAAAGGAACAAAAAGTGGCGGCACCCGATCGGATGCCGGCGCAGCATTTCGAGGGGTCGACCAACTCCTCCTCGAGGGTCGCGCGTCTCCATTAGTCATCGACATTGTTTGGCTTCCTTTCTCGAATGCTCTCGCGCCCGTCTCTCACACGCGCACGATGCCGAAAAAGCCTCGACGAGAGAGGCCCACCACCTCGTCCAGCACTCACCTCTCGACACAGGAAGAGGAATTCCCTGAAACACGAGATACTTCGAGCTGCCGCTTGAAACGATACCAAGAACGGGAACGCCCGCTCGGAAACGCATTTCCCGCGTTTCGTATGCAGCCGGTTTTGCCAGAAAAACTTCCGTACACACTCAAATATATGAAACATAAAAATATCCTACCGTCCAAAATTAAAACAAAAGCACAATTAAACATGCAAGTTTTATTTAAAAACATAAGTGTCATCGGAGAATCTACGTAGAAATGTTGTACCATTCAATGTGTGTCGAAATTGCGTGTTTAACTAATAATGATGATGTCGAATTGTTCGAAATCGAACATAGAAATAGAAATCTTCTCTTTCCTACGAATTTTATTTTTCGTACAACAGATACACCCGGACAATATTTCATAAATTTACGTCTTTTTTCGAAGCATCAAAAGTTTTGGGAGACGTCATGTCGAAAAAAAAAAAAAAAAGATCCCACAATGATCACTCGTTTGAATATAAATTCGTGAGTCTGGTTTTCTCATCAGCAGCAAGATTCTCATGCAACTAATTCAAAAGTTGGATGCTGATGGTCGACGTATCTAGTCGCGGCTAAAGCACATCAAGCGCGCATTAGACACCCACGTGCTCGTGACGACTACCCAAATGGTCTGCTTGAACGAATTCATCATCTTTCGAGAATAAATACACCAATTATGGCGCGCGTTTTGTGAAATTAAACGTTTGTCTCTCAATGTTTCGCAGCATTTTCGCATATCTCTTTCTGAGATCAGCGGATTGTTTTTTTTTTGCTTGCAGGCGACGTCGTCTCTTTGATGATCCGTGATATGCGCATTAACAAGCAAAACGACCCTGACCTTCTCTTCGCTGCTTACCGGAAGTCTAAACATTGCGTGAGATGTGACGCTCGTGTAAATATATTATTCTTAACGGTGAATATATTATTTTTATCGATAGCGGCCGTCTGTGCAAAGTGTAAGTTTGGAATGGTGGTACCACGATGTACAAGTGCCTGTCGGTGTATTTTTGGCGGTCGCATCTGGTCGAAGCCCTTGACGTGTTTTCTGCCTTTCGAATGCAGTCGCCGTTAGTTACTCGTCGTAGCGATGCTCGCTCAATCGTTAGATCCTGCACCTGTTTACCAATAAGCATGGAGAATCTTCGAACGCAAGGTAAAAGATAAAGGGGGTAGCGCCCCAGGTCTTGACGGAGGTGTGTCGTTTTTGCGAAATGCGAATAAATCTTGACACAAAATCAAACTGCATTCACATACGCAATTCGCATTTAATTTAATTTTTCAGAGATCCCGGATTATGTCAGTCATCACAAGCTGCGTGTGAGAATGGTGGTGGCGATATTTATTTGCGTGACTAGTTTGATCATTATTCTCTGGTTTGTAAGTTCGTTCATGGAAAATAAGCGAAGTGGCAGACAGGAAGAAGCGACGGGCGGAAAGTTCGACGAAATATCCCGTTTACAGCGACTATCCGACAAGATTTTGCCATTGGAATACACGTAAGCACGATGAGCTACATAATAAGTGAAAAATAACAAAACAAGAGAGATTTTTATATTTCTTACAAATTTAATATATTTTATATTTGTAAAACTTTGATCAAGTGAATCTGCTAGTGACAAACAATGAAAAATCCGGCTAATACAAATCAAAATATTGGATGTCTGTGTATGAAAGTGCGGTTTTATTTCAATCTTACGGTCCTTGTATCGGATCTTTTTCAGTGACTAAATTATATAAAAGATAGGTTGCATCAGATCATAATTTAAATGTTTAGTGGTAATATAATAAATAAATTGTTAAATAAAACTTTAACGATGAGATAAAATCCAAATTCTCATTAACGCAACGATAATCGTACACGATGGCTTTGTAAAAAGTTTTTACAAACTTCATTATATAAAATAATCATAATTTTAGATTTGTATTGAAAAAGACCTAAACTAGAGGTCAAAAACGTTTTACAATTTCACAATAAATACCAAGCTTACATCTTACACCATTACATCCGTGTCTGCTACAAATAGCCATTTGTCCTTCAAATTTTTTACAAACTAGTTTTTTAAATTAAAAAAAGATTTATTAAATGTTGTGAAACATTAACGACAGAAAAAAAGGAAATCTTTTGTATATTACGGTATTTACGATATACAAATATATGATATGCGTTTTCTCTAATTTTAGACTTAGAATCTGAAACAGTATGCGATACATAAAATTGACAAAGTTTATCGTCGTGTTAATCAGTAGTGACTGACGGTGAGTTCTCCGTCTGTGCAACACGCGTCAATCATTCTCTCGGTGATTGACATTGCAGACTTAAACTAAAATACTTGCAGTCTGTGTGTAATTTCATGTATACGACTTGTCGGACTACAATAAAAAATAACGTTAGCATTTGCAGCAAAATAAAATATAATATAATTACAATAAAATATAATATAACAAATATAATATAATATGCGTTTGGAAGATATAGCATAAAATATCTCAAACTCGAAAGAAAAAATATCGCTTAAAACACAGTTTTTATTTTTTATTTTATTTTATTTTATTTTTTTTTTTTTAACAAATTTGCGCTTACAGATTGAAAATAGTGCCGATACTAGAAGAAGAAAATTTCACGACAATTGGCGACGTACAAATTCAATTTTACTGCATGATCCCGACAAAGCACGTACGTTTTCATGCTCGCAATCTTCTTATAGAAGACCTCAGTGTGAAAAAATATTCTTCCAATTCACTAAAATTGATCAAGAAGTACGTCGCTACGACCAAAGATGACTTCATCGATGTATTTCTTCTCCAAATGTTAGTTGTTGGACAGATTTATGTTTTGCATATAAAGTATACAACTCCGTTACATCAGAAAGCAGAAGGATTATTCCGAAGCTCATATATCGATAGCGATAGCGAAAAAACGAGGTACCGTTAAAACGTGATATCTCTCACAATTTTATTTAATATTCAACATAACTCGCACGTCAAATGTGCATCCTGCCAGAAGCCAATATATTTTCCTTCTAGATGGATAGCGGTGTCCAACTTTTCTCCGAACTACGCTCGAACAGCCTATCCGTGTTTCGACGAGCCGTGGATCAAGACGCCATTTCGTATTTCTATCGGCAGAAAATCCGACATGCGATCGCACTCAAATTCGATGTTCAGAGTCACTGAGGAAATGTAAAAATAATCTATTCAATAACTGTATCTTAAATTAATTGTATACACTTTTTGGCTGTTGCAATTGCTCTCTTGCATGTTTGATCACGAGCGTTGATTTTATTATAGAAACGAAATTTCATTTAGAATGTTATCCGGTTCCTTTTCTTCAGACACAATATGCCGGGATACGTGTGGGACCATTACGAGAAGACTGTACCAATACCCACTTACGTAGTCGCCTTTATGGTCACCGACTTTTCCGGCTATGGCGTTAACGTTGACGACCGACCGTCGCATACGATTTTCTCTAGAAAGGAGTTTGTGAATAACACAAAGTACATAAGCTACCTGATACCGAAAGTGCTTCGTTTTATTCAAAATTTCACAACGTTTTCTTGCAAATTGGATAAGGTTGATGTAATCGCAGTTCCCGATCTGTCTTACAGCGCGATGGAAAACAGCGGCCTTATAACATTCCGGTAAACAAACTGTTTGAAATGTATAACACTTTTGGTCTCTTCTCAAAAATTTAATATTTTTATAATTACATCATTTGATTTTGGTACATGTTGTACCTATATGTCAGTTAATCAAACGTTGAAGAACTTGAAATTTTTAGAGAAGACGCTATCATTATAAAAGAAAGTAACGATATCACGTTACCGGATTCTAAGAAAGTAGTGGCTAATATCGCAGCGCACGAGGTCGCCCATCAATGGTTCGGTAATCTGGTAACGCCGAAATGGTGGGACGACGTGTGGTTGAAAGAAGGTTTCTCCACATTTTTCGGATACTTAGCACTGAATGTGGTAAATAAACAGCAAAACTTTAATGAGTGACGTTGCTGTTTTCTCAACAGTCTAACAAATCCCTACATCATGCTTATTACATGTATATTGCGTTACATTTATCAAATGGCCGCGAGATTGTTCTGCTTGATCTTTCAGATCGAACCCGCGTCCTGGGATCTGCAGGCGATTTTCCTAATGGATTGCCACGACGTGTTTAACAGCGATGCCGACCAAACGGCACACCCGTTGCACATTGACCTGAGAAAGCTGAGCGGGCTCGTCGACGTCTTCGATTTGACGTCGTACGTCAAGGGTAATTGCATGGCGCGCATGATCTATCATTTTCTGGGCGAGCGGATCTTCTTCGAGTCCGTGCGCCGCTACATACGCACGTACTACTATCGTAGCGCCGATCAGGAAGATCTCTGGAGCGCTTTTCAGGCGGAGATCGACAGGAGGACGGGAGGACTACCGGTCTCTCCGAGACTCGACATGAGCGACGTTATGAAAACCTGGACGTATCAGGCCGGCTTTCCTGTCCTACACGTTCAACAGAACCGTGAAACCGGTGTGATCGAGCTTAAGCAGGTGCGCCGATGTTTATCACAGATCGATCTTCAAGCGCGTTTCTTCATTCTCTCTCTTTCTCTCTCTCGTGTTTCGTCGACGACAAATTATTTATCGATCGAACGCATTTACGACGGTATTAATCATCGTTACTCTCTTAACGAGAAAAAAGGAAGATAGATGTGCTTTAATTTCACGAATAAATTATACAGTGTTTCTGCACATCAATGTTCTTTACTTTCGGTCGTGATTCCTTTAATTAATCTGAAGTTGATTTTCTCTCGTTACATTTAATTGGCTTCAATATTCATATATGCTCGAAATTGTTTTCTACATTCTTAAGAAAAAGAAAGTACGCAATTTGTATTTAAAAACCAATTAATACATCGTTTGTTAAATATAAAATGCACACTATTTTTTATCTTCCATATACCACAGGTTTAATAACAGTTGAAAAAATATATAAAAATCATAATATAGATAATACAATTCTCTTCTATTAATTTATTCGCCAATCCACATGTAATTTCTTTTTTATTCTCACGGTATACGCGAATGAAAAAAAAACTTGGTAGAACTTAGTTACTATTTGGCCAGCAAGAAAAATGTGCTAAGCTCATTGAGATTTTTATCTCGCTAACAAAACGTTTTATTGATGAATCAAAACATTCAGTAGATTCAACAATTTTTCCAACTGGCCATATAATAGCAATTTTTTTCCGTAATATAATTTAAAAGTCATTACTCTTATGTAACATAAAAATTGACATGGAATATATTACAAACAAGTTTTCTGGATAAAATATCCCAATTTATAATCGTTGTCGTCGCAATAGATAACGCCCGGTGCGAAGTGTTTGCAATGTATGGTAAAAATTGCTTGATTATGCTATGTTTGTGTTTCAGGATCGCTTTTATTATTACGGTCTAAATAGTATGAGCAAAGAGTTATGGCACATCCCGTTGACGTGGACAACCGAAAATGAACAGCAATTTAGTAATACCCTGCCGAAGGCATGGATGGTCGAAAAACGCATGAAAATTAACGACATCGTCCTGAACAGGGCGAATTTTAGTAACCAGTGGATTCTGTTTAATATCAATCAAACGGGTAATATTGTTGTAATATTGACGATAAAAGCCATTAATTTGGAAATAAAGACACTTTATTATTAGTTTGTAATTTATAACTTTACGTTATTATTCAAATTATATATCTATATGTATACGTATTGTCCATTATGAATCTTGGAGAGATATTACAAACTGAGAAAAATCTTAATTAGCACAATTATTTCGTTAAGATTACATACCAGTCTTTCCCAGAGACTTGGATTTGTTTTATTTCTGTCGTAGCTTTGTATCGCGTCAACTACGACGCGGAGAATTGGAAACTGTTGACAAGGTCCTTTGAGACGCTGCCGGAAGTAGCGAAAGTACAGCTGCTGACTGACTCGTCCGCGATGGTTGATGCCGGACTGCTTGATAAGATAATCATGTGGCGTATTCTTGAAAAACTGGAAGCAGAGACCGGAGAGATGTTGTGGACACTCGCGATACCCTTGTTGACCACCATTCACGACCGTCTCTGGAAGTCGAGCGCATTCGAGGTAATGCACGCAATGTTTTGTTTTGTTTTGTTTTGTTTTTTTTTTAATTTTTTGTCAAATATAATTAAGCAACGCTGTTACAACATTGTGCGTGATAATCTCGTTTAATAAAAGTAATGACGCGCAGATATATACGTCATATCTATAAAAATGCTATAATATTCGCCATGTTTTTCTAGTTTCTGCAATTCCCGAGCTCGTTCTTCCGAGATCATAGATTCGCGCGAGATTGCGCGGGCAATGGCGAGCACATTTGGTTTTATTATTAATTTATACGGGCACGGCGCGCGTGATAAGATATGCCGGGTGTATAATCGACGCCGCCGCGCGCGATCTAAATCGTCCACTATGCAGTATTCTGTCTTATGTCGTTATTATGCGCAGTTAAGGCTTAAGTATAGCATTATAAAAGCGTATGATTATCCTTGAGACAGATATATAAGCGATCATCGGTGAGGGCCCCTGTTTGGCCCGTCGTTACGATTCGGCATTCTCAATTAGGTCGGAGAACTCAATCATTATTTGTACCGAAATACGAGGCGCACGGGTAACATTTAATTAAGCACTTGCGCCGTAACTGTTTGCCGTAACAGTTCCCTCTTTTCACAGAAGCCATTATTGCAAAAATATACGAGATGAGAGAAGAGCGTATAGAAGGGCCCTCCGCCCGCGGTTTCTCTTCTCGGTCGCACCGCTGCTCGTTCGTAAACCTAACGTGCCAAATTAAATAAATACGCCGCGGCGTATCTCGCCGGTATTTTAATCCACTCGGTTTATTGCTCGTAAATTCTGAATAAATGGAATTACTCTCTTGCGCCGCGCGCGAATCAACCGCAGATCTCCGTAATGTCGCGATAAATATCGACGCCGACTACTTTGCCTTGCTTCTCGTAATTTCATAAGAGGTTTTTTGATGTTTTGCAAACAGGTGAAACAGAATCCTGAAAACGGGAGAATAAGTATTTTCTCATGGAAAAGAGGATTGAGTGGATGCGCGCGTGATAGCCTATTTTTGTGAAGATAACAAGTCGAGAGACAAAGAGATTTTGCATCATCTTTAAACATAAAATTCGTTCGCGCTCAATTTAAACGTTCTTTTTAACTTCAAATTTGTTTTTTATTTATTTAGGAAAATGCCAAAATTTAATCGGCTATTTGTTGATTTCTTCCAGTTCGTGATGTGCAAATTCATAGAGAAGGCGTATAACAGAGTGGCACCTTCGCTAGTATCCAAGGATCCCATACTGTGGACAGGATTTGAGTTACGCTTAATGAAATCTGCATGTTTGGCGGGGAATCGGGCATGTTTATCGATAATCCGTAACTTTGCTCACAAGCTGCTGCGAAATAAGACATCGAAATCGTACGTGTCTCAAATAATGCAATCTTAAAAACTGTTTTTACGTATATTTCCAATGAAATCTCGCCCACATTTGTAAAATTCACTTTTATACATCAACTGTTATTTACGCGGGATTTTGAAATCAAAGAAAATTGTATTTGAAACAATGTGGAAATGTACGGAAATACAAACGATATCTTATATCCTTGTCACGCAATTGTGAGAAAGGACCTAATTACCCGATAACCTAGTGTTTCAGAGGAATTTCGCCGTTGGACGTATTGCATATTCATGAAAGTCGCCACGGACGAACAATGGCTGGTTCTCTTTAATAGATACAATGAATCAGCGGTAAATGATAAGGAAAGCCTTGCTTTCGCATTGGGATGTCACGTTAACGCGACTTTATTGCAAAAGTAGGATACACATATATCTATATATAATATCTATCAAGTTACATATATCTATAATAAAATTAGAAAAAAATTATCCTAAAAAAATTCACTTACTTTATACGATAAATACTTACACTAGGTACCTGGTTATGATATTTTCACAAGAGAACGTAACGTTCGCGCACATAGAAAGAATTCTGACATCCGTCATGTTGAATCCACACGGATACAACGTTGCAAAAGAATTCTTATCTCAATATTGGAACAAATTTAACACAAATGCAGATAATGTCCGGTAAGTTAAATAAATATTCGAATAGCTAGAAACTACAAGAGTCCTAATCCAGGAACTCCCAAAAAGGGTGCAAAGGATAATGTCAGAGGAGAGGTCATAATTACGTTACGTGTGACACTAATAACATCACAGGGATACGTTCCAAAATCTTACCTTGGTAACCGAAAACTATAGTACACGCAAAATATAACTATAGTGACGCAAAATAAAGCATTTTAGTAACTAAGGTAGGATTTTGGAACGTACCTCAGTGAGTATGGTGGCGCGGCAATATAGACCTGATGAAATGACGTCACGTAGCAGTATGGCGTTCCGTAAAAATGGCGACTTCAGGTATGTATTTTTGTGTAAGCGAATACAAGGGAAAAGCATAGTTTGGTTTACGGAAAGTTTTGCGTATAGAAATAAGAAAATAATATATATTTATGCAAAATTATATATACATATATATATATATATATATATTAGGGGATGGGAATATGATTTCATATACAAATCCTAAAAAAAAAAAAAACTTGATTAGGTATATATGATTTCACATATAAAAATCCTAAACAACACTTTCTTTTTCTAATATTTATATAAAATACATTAATATTATACATTAACATTATGTCTTAATAATTAATAATAGACAAGAGTGGCAAAAATACGTGAGGAGAATGCTGAGGTTAGCTCGCCAGATAAAAGTTAGTATTGTGTATGCCCGTGCAGATGCAAGCGGTGCAGTATGAAGCATACTTATATCCTACACGGTAAAATTGCCAAATATCTCACTGGGAAGATATATAAGACAACTAACTGAATAAAGAATACAAGAGCTACGTGGTTGTAATTTGCCATATTCTATTTCTTATGACCCTTCTATATTTATATATCCTCACTTATCTTCACTTCTTCTATTTTTTCTGCTCTATGCGGCAGAAAATCCGGCGCGGCTTAAATTTTAGAGTTATCCTTTCTTGTTACTCTGTTGTTGCGATGTATATGAATACTAATAATATGATAATATCACGCATAAAAATATATTGTTTTCTTATTTCTATGCGCAAAATCTTTCATAATCAAGAATATCTTTCTTATACCTATTTGTTTATGCAAGAAGTACACCTGAAGTCGCCATTTTTACGGGACGCCATAGTACTGCACCGCTATTACTGAGTGACATTTCCTGTGACGTCATTTCATGCGTGACATGTTTTTACATCATGTTTTCGAACTTCATCAGTTTCCCGCGTAATGCAATTATGACGTTATTTCTCTCCTCTGACGTTATCCCCCGCATCTCTCTCAGAGTTTCGGGATTAGAACTTTTTATATAATTTCACTACTTGTATGAATTGGTTTTATTTGTTCATCCAGTATTCCGAAAAACCGGGCGCGCGTTTAACACAATATTTTCATTACTGTGCACTTTTTTTCCTCAGCAGGAATGTTACCCTGACCGACACGTTGCGTGTCTTCGTGAAACGCATTCGTCAAGAAGAGGACGTGGAACAGGTAAGAAAATTGCGCGAATGGTGAAATTTAACAAGAATCGAAAAGCAAAAACGATAGTGTTCCTCGAAAACCAAATATGCATACTTAGCTCTTTAAAAAAAAGACTGCATCGTGTTATTATGTAACGTACGCTTTTTCTTTCTTCCCCAGCTACGACGGCTGATAGGCAAGAGCGAGAAGTACAATGTCGAGATCAAACAAGTTATTTACAGAGTTCAGGCCAATGTCGCGTGGTACAAAAAGGACAAAAACGAGGTAACGTGTCGAGTCCGATCATTCAAAAAGTGAAACCAATTTTCACACATGACAGCTAAAAACTGTTCACGATATAGAATTACACACTACTTTTGCTTTAAAGTCAGTGTTTCTTATATATCCTATTTTATCACACAATATAATACTGTTATTTTTTAAATCAAATTTCATGTATTCTTGGTCTCTTTTTCTTTCTCATGTGTTTGTTACATTTATTATTTTTTTCAATAAAATATTTAAATAATAAACAAATTATGTGACAAAAGAAAACTATACAAAGAACAGTAATTTCTTTTTTTATTTTTACAGACTCAGAAGATAGTGGAAATGATTTCCGCAAAACTCACCGAAACAAACAATTGCAAAAGATGAAATTAGGGAGAAAAAAGGATGTTGCAATTGAATAAAGAAGACTTTTACAGAATTTTACTCTTCTCTAGTGTTTTTTAACAGAAAAAGAAAGTACTTTAATACCAGCCAATTAAATAATAATATATTATTAAACCAAAATATTTTTCTTTTCTTCTGTTCTTTATTTTTTCTGTTGTTATGAAATCATATATTTCCGAATATTGACTAATTAACAATATCAAACAGTAGAAGATATCATTACCTTCTACCAAGTACAAAAAGGTATTTATTAATATCCGAGAAAAACTTGTCATATTATCTGCAATGTCGGCGTATTGCCAGCATCTTCATAAATGTATATATTTGAGTATTTGCAAGAAATGGCAAATCCTAGCGAGCACCTAACTGGCCAACGTACCGAGTCGGACTCACTTGCGTGATGCGGTTGGAGAATTGTTAACCTAAGTAAGGGATTAATTTACGGGCAGTTACAATACCGCCACAAACCGAACGCCCTAATAGATTCAGGTCAATGCCACTACCATTCTTCGAAGCCGTTTATTATGTGGGAAGAGCGGGCCTTGTTCTCATGCCACACAGGTCGACGGTAACCTATGTGTGCGGCAACTGGAGGATTGTACCCGCGCTACCCGCGCCCGGGGAACCCGAAGTCGAGATAGAAAGATTTGCCGCGCGAGAGGAACCCTTCTATCCGTGCGGATCTTTCCTTGGTCTTCTTTTATTTCCACCCGCATCTCGATGCAGTTTGTTGGACTTCTTCTTCTCCAAAATAAACTCCGACATTAAACATCATTTACATTCCCTTTCTACATTTTATTCGCGTTGTATTATTAAAACATACACTTGCGCGCGTTAAAATGTTAAACAACGTAGTTAAACACTAATACGATTGAAATGATCGAATCTAACTGTTCGGCCAAAAGTTACCTTTACACGCACACACACAAACACACACACTCATTCTGTCGATCGAAATTATAAGAGTTTCCTTGAAGAAAATTGGTTGGCAACTTTCTCACGCTTGATTCGTTATTCTCTGGGAAGAAGAAATATCTCACGCTATGTTGTTTTGACCAACGAGTGGCGTTCAAGTCCATTTTTGAAGAATGTTTGTAGTATAGGTCACGTAAGACGTTAAATGGCGATCGAGTTGTGGATTAATGCGCATAGACGTCGCAGTCGCTTACAAACGATATTACCAAGTCCTTTTTGTTCTGTTCGAGATGTAAATTATAAAATTTAAATTAACAAACATATGCGCTTCATTTGCGATATGTTAAAAATAAGAAAAAACAATTAAATTTTTTTTGTAAATGAAAACGTTTTACACGATATTGCAAGAGAGAAATGAACATGTCGTTTGTGTTTTAACAAAACAAAATAAAAAATAGTAAAAAAGTTTCGAAAGAAAAGGAGTTTATACGGCGGGGGTCTCTCAAAGGTTCTTTCAGCGTGTGTACTTAAAAGAAGAACGAGCACGAAGATTAAAGCAGAAACCCTCTTCTTTCGAAAAGAGGGGTCAAAGAGCGCTACCGTGTCTCCAAAGGCGACGTGCAAAAAAGAATGAAAGAAAGGAATAGGAAGGAAGTTCTCCCGTGGTCGGTTCGCGCTCCCCGCGTGTGTGCTCCTCACTTGCACGCGTGCGAGCCAGGACCCTTCCTGAAGTTAATGATTCGGTCATTGCGATGGGTGGCGGTGACGATGAAGAGTGGTGGAAACGCGAAGTGGTGTGGTGTGGGTTCTACCGAGTGTAGAGTAGGAGAAGAGTGCGCCAGGAGGGCGAGGAAAGTAAGCTCGATCCCAGTTCGAACGCTTCGGTTCGGTCTTACAGGTTTAGTCTTGAACGGCTTGGCAGATTGTTGTCTTGGTCGAGAGAACTAGGATCGAGAAATCCGAAGATACTATTGTTAGGAGAAGACACTGGCAACTGTTATCAGTCAGCGGAACAAAATCAGCGGGTCGGCGCTATGTACCACCGGCCGCGTCTCCTCTAGAAAGGACGACGCATCGTTCGGTGACAAAAAAAAAAAAACGCGTTTTTCTCGCACAAAGAGAGAAGTTACGAGAAATAGAATTCATCACATAATCGAACATTCTGCCGCTTCCGAAAGACCTCGATGTCCGCAACTATGAAGAGAAGCCAATTATCGCTGCAACTATCGCTGGTCACTCTCAAAAGTACGTACTTACGGACTATATAGATGCTAAAACGTTTGACTGTGTAGCAAGCAGCTTGTGATTTTTGCTGAACGGCTTTTATGTGCAAGCCAAAATTTAAAAAATTTTAACTTAACTAATAAGTACTTTCATAAAGTTGAAGTTTCGAGTTACTCTTCAAAAGGGAAAGTAAGTAAAAATCTCATAACAGAGTGATGAGACAAGAATGATACAAATCTTATAAATGATATACGCGAGAGAGAAAGAGGGAGAAATAAGACCGTTTACTTATTCGTAAACAAAAACCTGAAGGAGATCGACAAGAACCACTCTTATGAACTCCGGTTGTCAAAGTACCGTTTTAACTTAAAGATTCTCGGTAGCACACATCTTCGAAGTATTCTTTGATCACAGAAAATGTTTCTAACGTACTTTCAACTTTTTAACCTAACCGTCATACAAAACTCAGTAGTTGCAACGACGATAACGTTGTTCTTATCGAGCAAGCTCGAATGCTTTTTAACGAGAATCGATAATAATTAGTGGAAGCGAAAATAACGCAGAACCACACTCGTGTGTGAACTTTGGAGAAATCTGTGTTAATTAAGCAATCGTGAACGCTCGAAGTGAGAGTAAATAAAATAATTAAAAGGTCGTCGTGTATCTGAATTTAATGGTCGCTGGTAATCGGAGACTTTTTTTTGGTCAGTCTCTCGAAGAACGGATATAACGTCCTTCGTTAAGAGAAGGCATTGAAATCACCGGGCGTGTGTGTGATTTTCTTTGACGACAAATGTCGTAACACGCGCGATTTTAGCCGCAAAAGACACACACGTTAAATATTGACTAGTGGAAATACACTTGCAAAAATGTGGGAATGTAAGGTGAAATTTAACAAGAGCGCTGTAAAACATCTTGCAAGTATATTGATAAACACTAAATAGTAAAATAAAATTTAAGTTAAATACAAATATGTTTACCGCAAATTTGATATTAAGTTAAATACAAATAAAATTAGTTAAAAAAATAAAATTTAATTTAAATATATTTATCGCAAAGTTGATTAAAGACGATATTAAGTTTGACATTAAATTTAATATTTCTTTTTTTATACTTCTTTCAGTTTAGAAATATTTACAAGGGTTGATTTGTAGCTTATATTTTCAATGCTTTTCCGCTCTGATCTGCACATGATTGATCGCGATCGTCATCGGACGTCTTTTACTTTAATGTCGCGACTTCGTCGTCCGCGCGTTCGTGTATTATTCTGATATCCACATTTACGCGAATGGCGAAAAAGCGGACGCACGATTGCCTTCTGCCTTCTTGTCGACAAGTCCCAATCGGAATTCCGAGGAAGCGCGTGGGATCGGCAGCGCGCAGGTAGCGCATATGCCGTGATCGCGATTGAACGAGCGAGCGAGCGAGCGAACGAGCAAGCGAGCAAGCAAACAAGTGCCCCGCACATGAATCGTACTTTTGCTAAAATGGAGAAACAATCTCCGGGCAACTCGCTCGCCTGGTGCGCCGTGAGTAAAAAGGAACGAATTCCTAAGACGAGCTAAATAGCGCTCGCAGTTAACTCAGCGGGTAGTATACTAACGGCGTACATACGTATCGCGCTTCCTCGGAACTCACCGACGTGGGAGGTAATGCCGATAACAAATACGAATACGAATATATGTATATACATATGGGGAAAGTACAAAATGCTGTCGATGAGCGCACTTTATACGTAAATATATAAAAAATATATATAAAATATATATAAAAAATATATAAAATAACATAATGAAAAAGATTTAAGTAAATTAAATTTTTTGAAATCGCGCACACAAAAAATATGTTGCAATTTTACTAATATAATCAATGAATAAATTCGTGACAATGTCGAAATAAGGCCTGAATGTACAGGAGTCAAATTACAGGATACCAATAACTTTCTGATTATTTTAACACTGAAGAAAACTCAAGTGAGAGTCGAAACGTTTGCGACTTTTTGTATTTTACAACATATTCGTTGCTTTCCAATTATATTAAAGAACTTCTCATATTGCTCGAATTGACCTTGTTAATATTTTTCATATCTTTGCTTTGCAAATTATAGAATGTTAGTGTAAAACAATATAGTATAAGATAATTTAATAACATATTATATTTAACAGGATAAAAATTAATGCTGAATTATATAACTCGAGATACTTCTTTGATCGGCTTCTTTTAAAGCTACATTTCGTATACATTTTGAGCACAAAGAAATGTGTCATATGTATTTATGCACATTTAATATGAATGAGTTGATGGTGTATAATCTGTGCAGAATGGTGGCCGTGGTGGTTACTGCTACCAGGATGTTTGGCATCGTGGACGCGATATGTTGAGGAATACGACTCCATTAGAGTGGCCAGGTGCGATGCTCGATGCGGAGAGAATCATCCTAATGAGGTACGAGAACCGATAATTAATTATCGATTAACTTTTTAAATGCTTGCATCTTCATCAATTTTTGTAATATATCAACAATATAATATCATTTTTTTTTTTTTAAATCTAAAATGAATGTATTAACTCGGCAAATAAGAACCGAAAGCAGAATATAATGCAAATAATGTGTTAAATTCAAATGCATTATTATCAATACGTTTCGTTTTTATTTTTAAGTCGATTTTCAGTTGATAATATAAATTAAATCAACAATCATGATTAAATGCAAAATTTCTCATTAATAAATATAAACATAAATTGTTTTAATTATGTAATTTAATACAAAATGTTGTCAAATTATTATAGTAATTAGTAAAGTGTGCACTGTATCACAGATCAAATATTTTAAGAGTCATGTCTAGAATATTTTTTTAACATAACTTTATCGTGTAAATTTTCACTCTGATAATCACATATAAACTTCTTAATATACGCGCGTGCATAAAAATCGTCGATTTTAATTTTAACACAATAATAATAAAAAAATGTTATTTTTTAAATAGACATCTCACAGAAGAGCATTGTAGAAGCAAATATATGTATTTCGTATACGTGAAGTCAGAAAGAATTAACGTCAAAATAGAATGTTAACCTCGTCGAAAACGATTATTTTATATTCGACGAGTCCGATGTTGATGCTTATGGCATCGACCTGCAATCAGGCGGAATAATCGGTTCGATTAATCAACGTGCTACAACGTACACACGTTCTGCAATCCAAGTGGAAGATTTGATTTCGACATCAATTTTAATTTCGATGGCCGATTCGACACTCGATAGGATCGCTAAATAAACTGGTTTCCCGCAACGCTTTGTCGCCTCCCAAGAGAGTCGCAGACGACGACGATCACGGTCGTCGATGATTCATTCGGGGCTTGTTCGGGTTTTGCGACTTCTCTCGTTCGTGTGTAATTAGTTATGCGAGTCCGAGCGTCCCTGAATCCGCGCCCACTTGAATCATCGTCACGCTCGATGATTTATGAGGTGCCACCAACCGTGGGACTTGACCATGCTAATTCGGTGATCAACAAGGGCGGGTCGATAATGCCATATTTGTCTGAAAAAAAATCTACCGAAAGCTAAAATGTTCCTCAAACCTACTATGTTTATGAGAAGTATCTGCATGTGACTTAATTAAGATTCATCGATGTATACATGCGCATCTGATAAAATTTTGTCGGATTATACTTCCGATACCGGCAAAGACATGATTGGCTTTACTTAAAATAAAACCTCAACGGCATATTTCAATTATGCGATGCGAAGTCCGGTACGCAAAATAATATTTTTTATCTCCAGCAGTCATCATTGCGGGCCGCGTGTCGTTTGTATAGTGAAAATGCTAGAGAGTGCTCCGCACTCGAGAGGTTAATTGGCATCGACTGGACGTTAACGGCAACAACGATTATGAGCAACGACATTCATTGACTTGCCAGTAACTTATCGACAAGCGAACCGCCGCGACGGTTTTATTGCTGATACTTTTTTTGCCGGCATGTATACACATGTCATTACGACACGGCCCCGAAATGATTCCAAAGAATGCCCCTGCCTCCTCCACCCCTTTTGGACGAAAGGGTGAACGAGGAGAGAAATGACGAAGAGATAGCCCTCGAGCTCTGACTGGCGGCTGACTATAAAGTCCCAAAGTAATGGCCTATAAAAGGGTTGCGCGCGGCCAACATACTAAGTTTGGATGCGCGCGCGCCTATGGCGCGCACTAGAAATGTATCTTCCGACATTATCGAAAACAGGTTCTTATCCCGAAGCATAAACGATCAATCTTCCTGGTGGCATCGTACTTCCAACTTCTCGAAACTGCACGACGAAACTTTGCTTTTGATAACTTTGATGTTAATGCCAGTTGATGGTGAAATTAATTATTTTATCTGTGTTTTCTGTATCGGTCCTTCTATAGAGACAATTACGGAAACGAATAATCTCGTCTTGTTGCGACGATATTGTTGCCGAAAAGAGATTTCAACAGATCATTCGTCGGTTCTGCGTTTTGTTCGCGCGTTACGTAATTTTTTTCCACGTCCTTTCTATAGAGCTCGCTGCTTATTAGCTGATGTAATTCCTTTGCCGTCGAACGTTGTTAAAAAAATCAAGCACATTCGCGCTATAGAATGTTGATTATTTGATATCGAATATTGCATTGAGATATTTATGACTTATTGCTTCTTTTAAGTTTGTTTCTTTGTGGTAACCGAAGAAGAATTTGTGGGTGATATGTATGCAAAACTTCTCGTTTATGCATATTATAATGGAAGTCGCGGAGGAGACAGTTGTCGTATTCGCTTGTGACAATTAACTTCATTAGAGCAACTGTCAGTACGAAACTTCATTTTGGAAGTTACGTTTAATGAGCAAGCATAAATTCTTCAGTATCAAAGCGGCGGCTTCTCTTTCAGTATGTTGATGAAAAAAAGATAAACCCCCCCGAGCCGTTATATATACGACAATCGACTTCGTTAGCGCGATCGTTACGTCGTCGGTAACTTCAACGAGAACTCAACTCTTCGTCGATGAGACGTGAATTTCATGGTATCGATCACTCCGCGCCCTTTTCGATTGTTAATTATCGGTGTCGTCGTCGACAAAAAGAATAAGTGAGAAGAGGCAAAGAAGATGAAAAAAAAGAAAAAATAAAGGAAGAGAAGAAAGCGAGAAGAAAACGACGCCGGTGAATCGCCAATGGGCAATATAATTTTCTTAACGACGGCGATCGGCGGCCGACCAATTCTCGCGCGCGATGAACTTCCATCGACCAAGACTGCCTCAACCGATCTTAATGAATACTTCAAACTACGATCTTCGCAAAGTCTTTAATTGGAGTGGCCTACCGATATGTGAGAAAGAAAAAGATAAAGTGGAAAAGAAAGGGAGAACGACGAGCGGGGGAGTTAAAGAGAAACGGAGAGAAGAGAGCGGTGCGATCGGTGCGAATGATTTTTCAGTATTGCCGATCGACACTATCGCCGATCTTTGTACGGGACTACATTAGTCTCCTGCCATACCCTAATCTTCGCTATTACTTCACAACGACCGCGTAGCTCGGAACTTCACGAGGAAGTTCTCTCGGCACTGAAACAGATTGGTGCGCCTTCGGCAAGAGGAAAGAAAAAGAGAAGCAGAGCAAGATCTGGTGAACTTCATTAGCTCTCTTACGTTATACGTTCGGTGCGTAACTCGCGGTTCCCCTAATACAATTGCACACGAAAATGATGAAAAACACCACTTTTTATTTTGTTACAATACAAATGTAATACTTTTCCCGATGTTTTGTACATCAAAAAAAACTTCGAGAAGAATCAACTTCGCGCGTCCGAATTCTTGATTTCAAATCCGATTAAAAATCTTCGATCAAACAACCGTTGTCAGAGGCAACGTCTTTGTCTTATTTCTTCTGCCAATATGAATAGCGCGGCTATTCATATCGAGCGGTCGTAATACTTTGATCTGCGCGATCTGCGCCGGATATCATTCGGCGATCTCGGCGCCCATCAACTAAGTTAATTCTTCGACCGTGACGACGCTTCATCAGATCACGTTCTTCTCCTTCGGCTCATTTCGATTTGTTCTTTTCACCCTGTGAACATTCTGTGAGCCGATTATCACTCGTGTTATGTTGAGCGCCACAAAACCCACCATCATTTCTTTCGATATGAGAAAGAGAGAGAGAGAGTCAGACAGAGCGAAGACGATTGCGGCCAAGTATTATTTCCAGATCGCGGCGCAAAAAAAGTGATTATACTTGAGCACCAAAGATATTTTTCACGTTATCGATCATTATATCTCGGAGAGTTTTCTAGAAACGTTTTTTTTTTGTTGTTGTTTATATCAGTTTCTTCTTGATCGATATATTCCACGGATGTTATTTCACGATAGCATGATGCATGGCAATCCTTATAATATCCAATGTCCTGTTTCGCAATAATACCGGTGATATTTATAGCGTGGCAGACTGCATAATAGTGCTCTTTCTCCATTGCTCTTTATATTATCTGATATTGCCGAGTCACAAAGGCGCTACTTCTCCGGAGAATGGAATTCCAGTCAGTGATAAATAGAACCTCTGATTTAGATCTTTTTTTTTTTGCAACATTAAAAGATCTGCACGTGATAACTTTCTCCGCAATTATTTACGTGCATACTTATCAAGTAGTTTTTCTCTCTATTCGTATTAGTACGTTTTTATTTTTTTGTTTTTCTGGTTTTTTTTGTTTTTTGTTTGTTTTTTGTTTTTTTTGTTTTTTTGTTTTTTTTTGTTTTTTTTTTTTTGCTTTTGCCGAGCAAGACGATTTTTGAAAGCAATTTCGATTGCAAACAGCAGTAGAAATTCGGTATGCTTTCTGCATTCAGATATGTAATACTCCCTTTTTAATTGCAACCATCTCAACTAACTGACAATGGAACGCGGAACGTAGCTTATCTCGATCGCCATGGCGCATGCTTTTACAATTTTTACGAAAACTAGTCGAGATAAATATTTTGCATTTATGTACATGACTGTGCGTTTATGTACATCAGTATGTTAAATACACGTCGCACACATAATTGCCTGTGTTATTGAATGTGTTAAATCTTTAACACGTTGACTGCCACACAAGTTTTACATGTTTTGCCAAGAATAGAATTTTCTTAGGACTACAAGAACATAATTTTCATAATTCTAAGTGTATAATGATAAAATATTAAGTAATATGATTAAATGAGATCATATTCTTATCAATAGTTCATCTTGCTGGTGATTTTCCGTGACTACCATGGCTCTACAGTGCGTTCGATTACTCTTAGATTGTGTTTTCAAATTTGAATTCACTATCAATACTGAAAATCTATAGCTCGTGTGACATATGTCACATAGATTTTCAGTACCGACAGTAAATTTCGGAACGCGGCTTTGATAACGCAGTCCTATTTTTTCTTGAAATGTTTTAACATAATTAACATAATAATAATTAAATTATTAAAATAATTAAATTATTTATCATAGATCAATTTTTATAAAATTTTATGTTTTAATAAGAATTTTTTTTAATTTCAAATTTTTAATTGTTAAATAGCACACTTTTTATTTCACAATGTTCTTTAGTTATTTACGTTGTTCAAAATGTTTTAACCAACGATATTCATCTTAATTTTTAATCGTTCTAAAAAATGTAGTAACGCCGGCCACAAATGATCCATCAGGACTAAGAAGACAAGCGCTAGTCACGAATGACCATTGTAACAGTCAACGTGTTAATGTGCAAAATTTCAAAACTATTGTATCGCCACGCATAATGATCTCAATTTCGAAAACGAGTCCTTTCCGCAAATGTGCGGATCAATTTCGAAAGAAGCGTCGATCCTGAACAGCTAGTTCGTACGGGGTTTGTCGGGAAAAGGACAAGTGTGATAGAGAGATAACGCGCGACATGTGTGTGATTTCGCCAACAATGCCATGCACTACCGACGGTGCGCGATCTTTGCGATGAACTTTATTAGCTGGTCAACGGCCCCGAGCGATCAGCGTCGACGACGCTGCCGCGGCTTAAGTCTGCTTCTCTTCCGCGGAGTGTTCGCTTCCCTTTGTAAAAAGTAGGCCAATAAGTAAGCGAACCAGTTCTCCCGATCGTTCGAATGATGTATGTCGCGGTCGCGACAGTGCGACAGCGAAAATACGCTCCCGTCGTCGTCAAGCAGAGGTGGGAGCCTTCTTCGAGCTTGCGTTGCTTTCCGATCTTCTCTTTTTCCACCGAAATTTATACATTGAAGAAGCAGAATGTTGCCCTTCAATCCGAAACGACGCTCGATCGTGCGACCCGCGCATCGTCCATGTGGACGCTATCGACGAGGCCGCGCGATTTCGAACGTCGATACGCTCCGCACTTTACTTTAAACTTGGACGATTCTCCCCGAGTCGCGCTATTAAGCCTAACGACTCGTACTTTCTGAACGTCATATTATACTTATAATCATACTTCTTATAGCGATCCGACGGAACGCTTATCTCATGCATTCGCCGATCGATTTCGTCGGGCCGGTTTTCTCGCGTCTACATTGTACGAAAATGATGACCGGATAAAACCACGGCAGCAAACGCGCGAAGTCGAACGCATTAAGTTGAAATATATATGGAGGGCCATCTTCGTGGTCCTGACGATCGCAGAACTCGCCTCGAGGGCTCGTTTAAAGGATCCGGACTTGTATTTCGTATCCGAGCAGAATCGACGACCGGCAGTTTCGTAACTATGTAGCAAGAGAGACTGGCTTCCACGAAAATGGCAGGGAAGCTCTCAATTGAGCCAGAGCTCTCGATATCAACGGCGATTTGTTGTAATTTTATTTATTCATGTTTTTTTACCATGTCCTTTTCGGCACCGACCGGGATTGGATCGGATCGCGGATAATGGAGCAGATCGACAGCGTTTCGATTAAGATGGAATGCAATGAAGTTTATATCGACCTTGCTAAATTCGTCCGCTGCAGATGCGGTGAATTGGCAGTTTCGAAGAAATAGTGTTCTACATATATATAAGCCGTTGGCGTATTGTACAAAAGCAAGATTACTGTTAAAGAGGATCCTAAATTGGATTTGTTTTATCGATAAAACTGAAGTTTTTGTGCATTAATTGTTTTTTTTTTTTGGCCATATGAACTGATAAATCCTGTTCTACAATTAAAGTACATACAATAAAGGATTCAGGAGGTCCGAATTTATATGACAAAATAAAAAAAAATTTTTAATTTAACTTTTTTTATTTTGTTACATAAATTTGGACTTATTGCCGGATATCTTATTGTATATACTTTACTTATAGAAGAGGATTTATCAATCCCAAAAAAGATTGGTGTGTACAGAAAATTCAGTTTTATCGATAAAACAAATCTACTTTAGGAGACATCCCTTATGGGATTGCGTTCGGAAACGCCACTCATGTGCATATGATTGTCATTTTATCTTTGTTTTATATCTAACGAGCGAAAAACATAAAGTGCACACGAGTGGTTGTTTCCAAACGCAACCAAATATGAATAATTAACAATACTCCTAAGAACAAATACAAAATTTTTTTTTCATCTTATCTAAAAGTTTCGATGTACGTATTTATTTATTTAATGTTGTGTCTTTCTTCAAAATAATTTAACGAAAATCATATTACTTTATTGACTTTCTTCAATTTTTTAACACGTAATGAATCTTAAAAATCTTTTTTAACATTTTTGTAATTTACTATTTAATAATTTTTATAATGTAATTTAATATAATTAATTTAATGTAATTTGTTTAATTATAATTGTTTATTTCCGTCATATTTAATTTCTCTCATTGTATTTTGCTTTACCACTTGTACAATATATCGCTTTAAAAGCTTAGACAGAGAACGAGAGAAGCATCAATATTTTTCGCGTCATAAACATTCTTGCATCGCGCCATTGACTCCGTCTTCGTGTTCACAAGTTGCGTTACTTCCGGCAATGAAGATGACGGTGAAAATGTCGTGTTACGTTTCGCAAAAACTCAACCACTTACTGTCGCTTCGCGTTCAAGATAAACGCGCTACTTGATTAGATAAGATCATCGCTAACTAGATAGGTGTGTATTTGTGAGAAATTCTTACATGCTTATTTATGTTTTGCGTACTAAGCTTATTATGTTTTTTCTGACAAGATTTCAAGAAGTATTAGAAATATAATGAAATGTGACTTGCAAAGAAATTTTCTCGTCTTGGTTTATCTATCCGTCATATTTTTTTGTGTAGTGCGTGGAAAATTGTCTAGCGTCGAATTATACAAAACCTGGCAATTGTCCCGAGAAAACGTCTATGACACCATTTGAGGCCGCCTGCTTGATCGCCTGTGTCGACGATTCTCATTGTCCGGATTTGGCTAAATGTTGCTCGCACGATTGCGGCGTCACGTGCATGCATCCAATTGGTTTAGAGATTCGAAACGGTGAGTACACTTTGTGTATCTTAGTATTTTTTTTTTTTTTGCACTTGCATTGCTCACGGAAACTCCACAAATGAAAAACAATTTACAAAATCCGCACTGTAACGTAATTCTCGGATCATTATTGTCTATTTACATTAGATCTGCCAACTGTGCCTGAGAATCTTCAAGTACAGCAACAGAAAAGGAACTTGGTGTTTTTGACGTGGCGCAACGGCAGGTCGGGTTTCAGCAACGTGTCTAGCAACACCGAGAATGTTCGATATCTAGTGGAGGAACGTCACTTGGTTGGCCCCAGATATCTGGAGTCCAGACTGAGCTCCTGGACCGTGTGTCATGTGTCGACAAAACCTCATGCAAATCTTCGCGGTCGATTAAAAACAGGACATTGGTATCAATTCCGTGTGGCAGCTGTCAACGGAAATGGATCGCGTGGATATTCGCAGCCCTCCAGACCCTTTAAAACAAAAGGTAAGCAAAGACATAAAAAGATAAAACATTGTCTAGATAAAAAAAATAATAAAACACTTTTTTCAGAAATTAACACGATTTAATAGTGTTAGATGATAATCATATTTCACATTAATATGTAGATATATATTTGTAGATATATTCAATACAATATAAATATATTCGATATATACATTCAATATAAAGATATATTTAATATGTAGAATTGGGATTTCGTCTAATTATAACAATATTTTTAGTATTTATTTTATTTAAATATATTATTTGTTAATTTTAACTCAGAGAAATAAATCTTCGAAGAAATAATGTTAATTTTAACTATATTTCTTCTCTCTCTCGCTCTTTCTCTCTCTCTCTCTCTCATACATTTCTGTAATAAATTACAGATAGTAAAAGTTGTCTAATGTATACCAGTTTATTGATTTGCATTTTTCTGATATTAACATTTATCGATATAATTTAAATGGATACTGTGGATTTATTTTTTACACGTATGACCAGAAGAGCAACCACGTATGATGCCTGTAACATCTAAAAGATTGTTCAAAGAAATAATACGACACTTTATCTTGCATACATTATGTAATTAAGTTATCGTGACGTGTGTTTCTCGAAATGAAGAAGTTATGAATAAATGTTGCAATAATGAATGATTATGAGCTTCATGGCAATTAATAATATCTACGTCATGAAAAAGTGATTTTATCAATAGCATCTTTTATTCGCGTGCGTTGCAGAACCGCGAAATCCAAAAGAACCTCAGAATTTGACCTTGTCCAACGCGCGTCTCGTTAGCGGAAAGCTGCGCATTAACTTGCGATGGATCAAACCGACGTCGGACGTGCCGATATCGTTCTACAAGGTGTTCTGGAGCAGACTCATCCATGGACCAGCGAACGACTCCATCCTAGTCTATCACAAGACGATTCCAAAAGTGAGTTTTTTTTATCATCGTTTTGGTAGATTTTTTAAAAAACAAAACATTTTCAGATTTTTATGTAATTTTTTCGCACGCGCTTTCTTCAGGATAAGACGTGCTACGAGCTGAAGAACCTCGAGCTCAAGTGTCAGTACTTCCTGCAGGTACAGGCGGTGGCGGTGTACGGCGGTCGTCGTCTGACGTCGCGCAAAGCGTCCAAAGTCTTCAACAGCACCGATTACATGGCATACGGTAAAGTATCCAAATTGACTTGTCCTCGGCGATATAGCTGATCGATCCTTCCCTCAGCCTCCCTTCTAAGTCCGGTGTAGTTTCGGGATAACCAACGAAAGCAGTGACCTTTCATTGAAGCCGACGTCGGGAGACGTTCCCGCAGGTGCGAGCGAATTCAGACCGGTCTTCACGTGCGCCGCATGAGCTGTCACCGTGGCGAGGTCAGGGTACGTCTGGTCTGGCCGGCGAGCGGCGACGCTGCGATGTACAACGTCACGTGGCGAGAAGAATCCTGCTCGCATGAAAAAGAATCGGAACAGAAATCTGCCGTCTGGCAAACGGTTCAAGTATGTGTTGATCTTGTTAAAGTTTTCGCATTTCCCTATCTTTTTTGCAAGCAGTATTTATTTGTTGACGACCGATCAATTTCGCAGACTACGCTGTGTGATCTACGACAACTTCGGAACGATTGCACGTACAGCGCAAATGTGCGAAACATACTGAAGAACGGCGAAAATGAAGGTCACGGTACCAGTATAGAGTTTTTTGCTACAGGATGTGATCAGAAACAGCAGAAGCACTCGCGGCGGAAGGCAGCGAGATGTAAGAAAATAACATAACGAAAGTTGTCTAGATCCAGGAGACACTTTTCCAGTCCGTTTGTGGCGTAAATGTGCTATTAGTAAAAAAAGGAGAAGAAAAAAACAAAACGTTCGTACAAAGAAACAACCACCTTATAGAAGTTAGAACATGGTGACATTCTAGCTTAACTTATAAATAAAACTATTTTTGTTACACAGCTCTTGTGAAATATTATCGTAGTAACTTATAATTTTTAATTATATTGCCTAATTCGAGTGACTATATATGTGAAGGAATTATACCGCCTTTGCTTGCTCATTGTATTTGATCGCTCTTTGACATTCCACAAATTATGTTAATAATATTGCATCTTAATTTGTACTTTGATATAGTTACTAGATTTTAATCGAAATAGTTGGCCACAAATTTATTAATTGTTTGGCTTGCAAAATAAACATTTTATTTAAGAAGTTTTATATTTCTTTTATATCTTTTGCTGCGTTCTCTGTCTCTCAACACTTCATTGTTATTATATTTTAAATAGTATTCAAATGACGGCTCGATAAAACAAATTAAAAGAAAAAAAAGAGTCCAACGAGCTTATAGTCCAAGTTGAAGGTTTGGACAATCAAAACAACTTAAAACGCAGTATATTCCAGACATTTTGATCAAATTTTATTGGTAATCATCTTCAGCACTGTATACAATGTAAAAATTTATTATTTCTTTTATTAAATTAACACCTGCCTTTTGCGTTTTTATGTGCAACATTTCTGAGATTAGTCTTTTGTGGTAAAATTGTTCTGTGTCTAAAATCTCAACGTTATCTCATTGGAAATCATGGCCTAAATTGCTACGATATCGAGTAACAATAGACTGCCGTTCGTAATTTTGATAAAAATTATGTTGATATTCTGTTAATCTCGTCTGTAATTGTCTTCCTGTTTGGCCCACATAAGAAGCGTCACAAGAAAAGCAATTGATTTTATAAATTACATTGTTGTTAGAGCCATGTTTTAACTTACCTTTGTGTGCTTTGATCAATCTTTTCAAAGTGTTTAAGGATCTAAAAGAGCATTTAAAATCCATTTTTTTTTTTAAGTTCTGGCTAAATTGTCAGTAATCTCAGAAACAAATGGAAGAGTAAAACATAGTAAAGAAGAGTTACTATATTTTGTTTTCAACTTTATGAGCAGAAATGCGATTGATTTAAAATCCGGAAGATAGAAAATATGAAAAAAGAGTACTTAAAAAAGATACATAATTTTGTCTTTATTTAATAATATTTTTAACACAGGCTTCAGTTCATACTAAAATTAGTTGTGTAAAAATCTGATTAGAAAAATATTAAGAATTGTAAACATTATGTTTGAGGTGAATGAGAATGCGCCATTGTATCCTTGACGATAATATACATTTCTGTCACCGAGTTTCTGCGTGGGTCTAAAATTGGATTTGAGCGGGCCGTCGGGACCGTCCACGTTTTTAAACACGTTCAACTGCAAAGTAATTAAATTAAATATGTTAAGAATTAAAATTATTAGTATTTTTTATTTATAATAGAACGTACATGTAAGTGTGTTCATCTCAGACAGCATAGCATGTCCAAAATACATCTATGGATGCTTTTGCGACACAAGACGTCTTCTGAGATGTCCCATAGATGTATCTCGGACGTGCGTGCCGTATGGAATGTAATTCTATTTGTACGATATATATGAGATGGGGTACATTTTTATATCATTAATTTTAATAATTTAATTCTTATATCGTTAAAGTTAGGAACATTTGTCGAGCGAAAAAATATGTTTTGCTCTTATCAAGAATATTATAATAAAGTAGAAAATACTTTATTATATTATCTTATGAATTTACATCTTAAAAAACTGATAGTCTCCCGTAAAACATTTCCCTTCAAATATAAATGACTTTCAATGACGAAGTACATAGATAAGTACACAGGTAAGTACATAAGATACATAAAGTACTCTTGTTTAAAAAACAATAGTCTTATTACATGTAAATAAATATTACGTGACAAAATATAATCAATTTGCCACAAAATAAAAAATATCTTTGTTTATTTAAAAAAAAAAAACCATTAACAATACGTGCGTATCAAACGCACTAACAGTCTAGTACTTAGTCATTTTTTCCATTATTGCTCAATGGAAACAAAAAAATTTATTTTTTTTTTGCTCGATGAACGTTGCAAACTTTAACGCGACACAAATTTTTAAAGTAAATCTAAGTAAGTAACCTGTTTTTTCGATATCGGAATTTTGTCAGCTAGAATAATCCATATCACAGATTCTTGACAATTCGGCGTGGTTAAGGATCCCTGATAACGGTAATACGACGAACGATTCTCCGGTAGTAATGAAATAGATACCAGTTTTTGTATCGATACTGCACTCTTTCCCACCCAGTTCGATACTAGTTTTATTGCGTCCAAAATCGGCTTCAAAACCGGATTGTCAGAATGATCCAACTAAAATGAAATATCATTAATTAATATTTGTGTTTATGAGCTTTTAAAAGATAAATGTAAAAACACGAAACATGAAGATAACGCACTGAACAATATTTGTACCTCAAACAAGATACCAATAACAACAAGTCCGTTTTTGTGTTCAGCAGCGTTGGTAAAGTTTCCGAATTCTTCGTTATAATGCACTATATGCAGTTCCAGTGGATCACGTACACCATCTATCGTATGCTCGGCGTCCCAGTGAAAGTGCATCTGCTCGAGAATATACGTCGATGGTAGGTTACCTCTTCTCAAGACAATTGGCATGTCAAGTTTATTAAAATCACCAATTTGTACTGCAAAAAGAGTCTCATTGAACATGTATAATATAATATCAGAATAATAATCTGAACAAAACTTTAAATAAGACTGTGAATTTTATATTTGTTTTTAATATAAATATACATACACAAGGTGTCTTTTTTCAATTGCTCCAAGCAAATATCTCAAAAAGCATGGAAAAACATTTTAGACAAAAGTTATAGAATATCAAAGGAAACAGATAATGTTGACATTTGTTTGATCTTAGGGATTATATTGAAAACTCCTACCAAGATTAATTTTAAATTTTTAAATAAAAACTTATGATTTTTATTAAGTATTCTTTTTAAAATTACTATATGATGTACAAATTCAGCCGAGAGCGCTCGCGGGAAACGCGGGCTGCACCGTGTAGGTCGCGTTTCTCTTTGCATGTTATGTTGCCTGCTTGTAGGTGGTTAACAGTCAGCCGCACAAGGAGATATTAAGATTGAAGTAAAGAATCCTTTTTTTATTGCAATCAACGATCAACTTTATGAGTTCAAGTACACATAATATTTAACTTTATGATGGTTTGGTTGAGTTGGCTTCGCGATTCGCTAGAACACAATTATGTTCGCTTGTTTTTAAGGTTGATCGTTGATCGTTAGTCCTGTAAAACCTACGCGACTTTAAGATCGAATATCTTTACGAAAAATCAATAGTTTTTAAATTCTGTTTTTTGAATCGAAAATTGAACAATTTTTTGTCGATAAAAAAACAAAGTAAAAAAATATTCAGTAGTTTCGCAGTTATAAGCGTTTAAAGAAAAGCTTGACAATTGTTTTTTGAAAAAAAAGGGTTTTGTTTCAACATTAATTATTTTTTTGTAATTAATATTTTTACAAAATTCTTACGCAGTTTTGTAGGAAAATTATTTGTACTTTTAGGGGAACAATATTTTCTCCTAACAATTTTAAAATTAAAAATATTTTTACAATAGGTTTTTGAAACGTTGTTCAAAGAATGTAGTTTTTGAGCGCCTAACTTTGACATGCGTATTGTAATGATAAATGAATATTTTGACATATTCTTTTGTCTAGTAGCAAGTTTAAACGATTCTGCTTCAATAAAAAAAAAAAAAATTTCACAGATTGAAAAAATTTCAATAGGTTCAAAGATATAAGCATTTAAAAAAAGCCTTCTTTTCGAAAAAATGCTTCTTTAAAAAAGTACGGATGCTTATTGAGAAATTTAAAAGTGATCTTGGCAGAGATTTTTAAGATAATCTCAAAATTACATAACCGTCAGCATCTATCATTGATAAAAATTTCCTTTGAAAGTTTTGTGTATATTTTCCATGTTTTTCAAGATATTTAATTGAAGCAATTAAAATAGAATACATTGTGTGTGTATAACTGTTCTTATACACATATAACACACACACACACACACTAAAAAACAAATTTAATGTCGCATTATAAAAAAAATTTGATTGTTTATTAAATAAAAACTCAGTAAAAGTAAGAAAGAGAAATCTGCAAATTGTAAAAAGAAGTTACTTTCTGTATGTGTTAATTCAATATTTTCTTTGTTTTGATTTTGCAAAGCCAATATCGCAATATAAGTTTTCATTTCACTTACCGCTGTGGCCATTGTTAATCATCGTGACAGGAACTGCGACATCATAATAATCGAAGTCAAGAGAATCCAAATCGCTTTCTACGAGATCTTTTGTCACAATGTCGATTGGCGATTGTCGCTTTCCTGTTGTACATATTCCCGGCCAGTTTTGCGGTCCTAAGTATTTAAACAATCATACAATCCATGCAAAAATGCAAGTAACATTTATGTCTATTATTTAAACTTTAATATAGTTTTTTTGTGAATTTTTTCAACTAGTGTTTCACGATATTTGCCTAGTATTTTTACGTTGTCAATAGCTTATTTAATGTCAATAATATTACTTTATTATTTATAACAGTACAGTTTACAAAAAATAAATTATTATTGATATATTCACGCTGCAATTAGATGTAATAAATAGTATCAAAGTTTCGTTTGGACAATTAACTTTTTTTTTGTTTCATCATAACGAATCTAGTCTTTAAATACCTTCAACTGACAGTCAAGGTTGCTGTTATTAGATCATTTAATGGCTTGCTTGTGTGTTTTGTACAAGTTAGATGAAAAGAATGCACTTATCGCGCTTGTTGAATGCTTATCGCAAATAGATTTTCTCAAGATTGGAAAATCAGCGTGAAATCATAAGCATGTTCTTGTCTCTTGCAATCGATTTTATCAGTCAATCGTGTTTGATTTCTGTTGTCAAAAGATATTATATATATGTGTATACTCAATCTTTTTGTAAAGCATCTATTCGTTCTAAACTACATAAATAAAGATAATCTAAACTTATTGTCAGCAATGAATTATCTCATTTTTTTTTAGAATTCTTTTCTTTCGTGTACATATATACATAGTTTTATATTGCACAAAACTATATAAAAGTTATATCTCACTTAATATCTCACGTAATTACCATTGTCGTCCGAAAATCCCCATTCAGCTGCCTTTGATATTTGTAGACCTGAAAGTAAAAGTAAATTTATAACTTAATTTATAATTTAAAAGACTTATAGAGCCTGAGAGTAATCTCTACTTATCACTAATTGTTTAAATTTATAACGTTTACAATCTACACAAATTACTTAACAACTACATAGCTAACTTGTATTTTGCAAAAAACCTGTATGCAATATAAAAGAGCTTGGTGTTCGATGTAATATGATAAGTGTTGAAATCAATTCATGCAAATTGACTATATGGTATAATAAAACAATTGCTCAATTTTAGCGTCAGATGCAAATTTACTTGAACGTGAAGTTTGCGAGGAAACGCGTGCGCTATAATAATAATAATCATTTATCTAAACCGGCGTTGATCTTGTACACGCGGAATCAATTTGGCTAGTTCGCACAAGAGAGAGAGACCAATAAAAATAATTATTTCCACGTCACGCAAATACACGACTCGTCGCGAGCACGTTCGATAGACCCGATAGGTAATTGAACGCGTACGACAGGAAACAGAATTGACCTCATTGACCCGGCTCCGGTAACGACGAATTTGTTCGCACTTATTCCCAATTCCGCGCTCGAATGTTAGAAAAATGTGATTGACACGTGAGTGTTGGGAGCAAAGCACCCGATCGTTCCGCCGGCCTCGCGCGGCCGATAATTGAATCACAATCGGTGGATAAACGCCGGCGCTTTCTAGATCAGCAGTCCGGCCGCACACACAACAACGGCCAAATCACTCAAATGACCCGCAGATTTTAATGAACATAATGTACACTTCCGCTGTGCTAGAGATAACGCGCGGAACTAGCTAATCTGAATACCGAAGATATTATCGAAATGTTAATGTGTTTTTGACTCTAAATATTTAACAATAATTTAAACAACCGTAACTACAATTTTCAAAAGAAAAAAGATATATTTGTCACGTTTAAAATATACTGCCTGTCTCAATCGACAGTTAGTTTAGTACTGAGCTGTGTGTGTTGGCAGGGCTTACAATTTGCGTGACATGAAAAAAAAGGAGCGTAGCAAGTAACGAAGATAGAAGCACAAATCAAAACAAGAAAAGAAAGCTAAATATGTATAAAAGCATAAATATGAAAATAAACAAAGATAGAACTGAAGATAAGACGAGAAAACAAGATTGCGAAACAGAATAACTGGGAATTTAATTAGTTCAAATTTAATTATTTTATGGAAAATTATTTTACGGAAATATTTTTAGCAGTGCGTAGATTTATATATTAATGCAAACTTTAATAGACATTTTAACGTTTTATTGGACATGTTATTTACACTTATGTACATTTATCGAAGAATTCGAAAAGAAATCCCGTTTTCTGAATAATTTGCTAAACAAAACGGAAAAGCAGTCGAATGAATGATCTAGTGGGTGAACGCAGCACAAGAACCCTTACCTAGAAGGGCGATTAAGCAGAAGAGACGCATAGCGTGGAGCTACCTGGGACGAACGCGATGAGTAACACACGAGCACAATGACGACAAGTGTACGACTGATGAACGCGACGTAAACCTAACTGCATAACCCCGAGATTACACGAGGAACTATCGCAGATTTAACGTGTATATACTGCTCCACAAAGTGGAGCATTGTGACCATGTGTATTTGATGCGCGGACGTTGGTCCATTCATAGTTCTCTCAGCTCATTACCTATCAAGCCCCCGACACGATTAAGGTAATACATATCTATAGTGAGCAAAGAGCAGTGAATAAAAGATCAGTTTTAAGTTTCTTAGAACAGAGTTTTTCTTTGCGCGGTTGTAATCAAGCGCGTTCATTCATCTCTAATAAAAAAATCGGGCAGAATTCGTAGATAACAAAACAGTTCACTCAATATGTGCTGAATTAATGCATTTAATAAACCGAGTTTCTCTGGAAACCTCGTTTCCTCGTAAAAAATTAATAACAATAGTATTTATTAAATAAAAAAAATATAACTTAGTTGAGAATAAACTATAGATGAGTTTTGAACTAATAGGATATTTCAATAGAATGATAATCCATGGAATGATAATATGCTGTTAGGTCAAAATTTATCTATAGTGGAATATGAACCGCCGCGCGTAAACTGGAGCGAAAATCTGAGTAAAATTATATTCGCGAACAAAGCATGGTCCAAATCTTAAATTTAGAAACGCGGTTTATCTGCATTCCGTCGATCGAATATTTAGTCTGTGTTCTGCACGTACGACTACTATTATGATACTGTATTTTGATTGTTCAAAATAATAATCACTCACAAGTAAAGTTTTTTTAATGTTTAATTTTCCAGAAATTGCACCGATGTTTAATTTATTTAATTTATATATTAATTTAATTTATTTAATTTATATAAAAATTCAGAGGATTCACATATTCGTTATTTATGAGACAAGATGACGCAAGCACAAATATAACAGTGGTGATAGTTCTAGTCACCATATATTATCTTATCACAGTTCTTTTCTCTTAAAAACGACGTGCAAAATCGAGATCATTTTTTTGTCGCGATTTGCTTTGCTTGAGAAAATATGAGATACATAAGTTTAATAGCGTGTCTGTCGCACCCATTTCTCTCATAAAAGAATTTGTGTTCTGATAAGAAAGAAAAAATTGCGGGATGTTTTATCTGTAGAATTTTTCAAAGAAATTGCAAAATGTTTTACCTGTGAAAAACAAAATCAATTTGATCGTCAGGAGGTGACCTAAACCCATTTTCGCACGTAAAGCACCTGTGAATTTATCGAGACACAACTTGGACGACGATCACCGTTCAACTAACAAATTCCTCGTCTGAGAGCTGACATATATATTCAACCCCCGCGTAAGCCGTATCAAACTCCCGCAAAACTGCAATGATCAATTGATTTGGCAGCTGTGCCTTAATCGATTGATCACTGAGCTTTTGAGAGCCTCAAGAAAATCGAGAAGAAAGATAAAAAAAATAAGAAGAGAATTTCTCTCTTTAAAAAAATAGAATATAAAGAATATTGAAGTAAGATATTTTGCAAAGTGTACACTTCTGAATTGTAGAGTGTACACGCGTCAAAAGTTTAAATTATTGAACTGCGTTTGGATAATGTTAGAAATAAGATCATATGTGTGATATATTCGCTCTGTTTCTCGTCATTCTCAATGGATATTATCATTCTCAATGGACGATATATTTATATTACCATTAAGAATCTTTGCATTCAGCAGACGTTTCTCTTGTATATATTTAGATGTCCATTTGTGAAAGCATCTACCAACAGTCGAAAATCACATGTATGTGAATGAAGAAGTAATTTAATTAAAAATAAATAAAAAGTAAATTTATGTGCATAAGATATATTGCACTTTTTTATAATCTATTTATGGTTTTATGATACATATGCATGTGCAATATTAACATTTATTATAAAATTTGTTTCACTACAACAACGTTAGTATCGCACTTGAGTGTACATGTTATATCACATAAAACTTGTCATAAACTGAATATAAAAAAGTGCAATCTTATGCAGAACTACACACGTAAGAGTGATTTATTCCTGAAAGTGGTTTTCGAGCTTGAACCGCTAAATCATTTTTAGAAATTTTTACAGTTCATCGCGAAAACATGAAATATCAAATATATACTCATAAAATTAATATTGTTTTTTTATCTAATTTTCACAATGTTTTTACAATTGCATCTAAAGTATATAAATATTTATTGATAATTTTTGTTTTTTACGTATCTTTTTCTAGTAATTAAAGAAATCGTGTCATTAGTTCCGTGTCACGGAATGTTACTTGGCACTAATATGTGGAACTATTTCAAGTAGCACGCACACGCATTCGCGCGAATTTAGCGAACACTCCTTGATAAAAATAGTAGACTGGACAGGATAAATGTTATCGCTACGTGAGAAACTTCTTCTTCATTCTTTCACTGAATGAGTCGTTAAAAAAAAAAACACAAACATCTAAAGTATTAAATTAAAATAGATCGGTAAATTAACAAGTCTTACTCTGTCAATTTATTAAAATTACAATTACTTTAAGTAGTTAAAAAATATTTTACTTTTAAGAATTTTAAATACCTTTGACTTTATAAAATTTGTAAAAACTAAGATAAAAAATACATTTAATTTCAAATCTATATGATACATACAACTTTACTGCAACATATAACTGAGAAAAGTAATATTGCTGATCATCGCATGTTAGAACAATAATAAATCACAAACGTTTCTATTTCAATGGAAATGACCTATAAAAGTGAAGCGATCTGTGTAGCAACGTAGTATAGGTATCCGTACTTCTTCCAATGGAAGAAAGAAAGAGAGCGAAATCTCGAAAGAAGAAACAAGAAGGAAAAGCGCGAGGCGTTCCGACCAGAAATAGAAGAGCCGTCACGACGAGAGTCAGCGTCGTCGAGTGTCAGCCAGGGTAGTGTTCTATGCGAGTTCCTTGGCCGGTCTAGTAGTTTGTGTCGAAGTATGCCGCGCGGCATCCCAATGAGGTCCTCTCTGAGAAGCCGGGACTCGTCCTCGACATCGACAGGAGTCGATCCTCGCGAACGTGTTAAGGATTGCTGCCGGAAGCTGGTCGCCTTTATGTGCACTCAGGTAGGCGTGGGTGGACTGGTGATAGGCTACGCCATCGTGGGTGCCTTCGGCTTCATAACGATCGAAACCCAGTTCGAACAGCCGGAGCACTTGTGCATGCGCGAGTTCGTACGCAGGGAGTACGCGGACGAGCTGTGGTTCAGCACCGCGAGCAACCGGTCGGTGAACGTGTTCAATCGCACGACCTTCCATGTGGTGTCCAACAGCATCTTGCTTCGCTATCAAGAGAACATCATTAACCTCGTGCGCAGAAAAATAGACTGCGATCACACGCCCAGCGATCTCTGGTCATTTCCAGCTGCGTTAATGTTTTGCTTGTCAGTGTTCACGATGATCGGCTACGGCAGCTTGGTGCCAAAGACTCAATTGGGCAAGGGCGCTACAGTAGTCTACGCGGTACTGGGTATTCCGCTCTACGTGTTGTACTTTCTCAACATGGGTAAAGTGTTGGCGCATACTTTCCGTTGGCTTTACACGCGGCTGCACGAGTGCACCGGTCAGCGAAAGCCTGGACAGAGGATCACCGTGCCCTCGACCGCTTGTCTTTGGGTGATATGCGGCTACATCGTTGCCGGCTCGATCATGTTCGCCGAGTGGGAAGGCTGGGACTATCTGGACAGCGCTTATTTCTGCGTCACCTCGCTCTGCAAAATTGGCATGGGCGATCTGGTTCCCGGCTGGAGCCACGCGGATTCCATGGAAGCCAGCCAGACGAAACTCATCATCAACTTTGTGTACATGCTTTTGGGTATGGGTCTGATAGCTATGTGCTACAATCTGATGAAGGAAGACGTGTACGTGAAGGCGCGAGAACTCAAAGAACAGATGAACAACGCGATGGACGCGGTTCATTACAAGATTGGAACATGTTGCAAGTCGGAACCTACAATGGACTGAGAGAACCGAGAAAGTAAATAAAAAATCAGAATATTGTAATTTGCAACATATTCTGACTTTTGTCAGTTTTCTTTGTTGAAAAAGAAACTGCAATCAGAGAAAAACTGTAACAAAAAGAAAGAAAACAGAAACCGAGAGAAGTTTTATAAATAGAAGTTTTATAAACAGAGAAGGAAAGAAATCTTGTCGGAAGAGTGGATACGTGTTGTATTTTTGCACAACGTCAATGTGTTGTGGCAGACTAGTCATTGCGTAGTCATGCATAATAAGATTTTCTAATGATATGACAGTTTATAATTTTTTAGTCACTTTTTCTTCAAAATATGATCGATATTAGTTTAAAATATAAGCAGTTAAATGTTCTTTATTATATTATTATACCCGACACATTATGCGATATTAATAATACAATTGTTGAGATCTCTACGTGTGCATGAGTGTGTGTCCGATATGTGTGAGATTTATTATTTTCATATTTTGTTAATTAGATTAAGATTTCTAGACAGAACATACAAAGTCAACATTGCGTTAGAGCACTTTTTACGTAAAACTCGAGCCGTAATTTATAATAGCCATAAATAACAGTTCTGATATAGCTATAAAATTGATAACGTGTATCTCGCATCTGCTTTATATAAACAGTATGTTTAAGTTAACTGTACGTTTATGCCACTTCAATGCACTTCTCATGATTTACTGCGACGGACTATTTACATTTACTGATATCGGAGACGAGTCGCTAAACTAAAATTCGATTTTTTAAAACTAATGTAAGCAATAATGTAATTCAAACAAAAAATGTGAAACTGTCATAATACGTATCCTCAATGAAATTAATTTTTGTAATTAATGGAAATTGATTTATTCATAAAGAGTTGCGATTTTGCGATCAAAGCAATTATGGATTTTTTCTTTAGTTTAATTTATTGCAATTTTGTGTGTGAAGACAAGAATTTATGACGTTGCGAATGTAAAATATTTGTCACGAACGCAAATATATATCGACAGAACATACCAAGCGCAAACTAATTATTGTGCGTAATGTATCGATTATGATTGATAATGTCCAGCTCGGAAAATTAATGGTCTACAACACTTCTCTCACCGATGACGATACGTACAAATATGTATGTAGATGAGGATTTATTACGTTATTATATTGTACATTCCGCAAGAGATAATTTGCTCAAACGTACAAATATTGTGCTTCTTATTATTAACAGGTGGACAAAGCCTTCATTACTCATGTATATGTATTTCATTTTTTGTATCCAGATATGTTTTGGTAAAAATATAATTTTGTTAAGTTTTACTATTGCGTTCTTTTAAAAAATGTCGCATTTTTCAGTTGCACATGTAACATCGTGTACATCTACATATATCTGCCTTGAAATAATAACCCAGTAGAGTATATGATTACAGAAATAACCTAGCTCGCTTTCACGTTTCGTAGTTTCCATTTCGGTTTCAACTTGCAAGACTGTTAACGAAACGTAAGTTATATATAAAATATATTTCTCAATTTTTCAGAAAAGAAAAGCTTTTTTTTCAATTTTTATGTATTCTCTTTTAAAAAAGACACTTCAATTATGTGTTTTGTACAAATTTAATTTGCAATTGTGTTAAAAGACTATAAACAGATTATAATATATTACATTTTTGAACATACATTATTTAAAGATACACATACAAAAATTACACTAACAAATTTAACAACAATTTCTTCCGTTTTTTTCTAATTATAAGTCGTCGAACGATTGTACCGACATCTTCTAACATATACACGTATTACATGGAATGTATAGTGCAGACTTCCTGCTTTATCTGCGTTTAGTAAAAAATTGTATGTTGCATATATTAATACATTTATATGCAAGACACGTATTAGTACGTTTTTTCTATAATGTAGACTACAGATCAAGTATTAGTACGTCTTTTGGTATATTTTTGAAAATTCATAGTATATCAATAATTAAAGCAATTTTGTTTTACATCCTTTTTTGACCTAGTCAAATCGTTCAAAAATAGCCCGCATCACTTAGAGTGTGTAAGATAGCCCGCATACAATGTGTTAATAATTGAGAAAATATATTTATTGATCGCAAATAAAGAATATACTATACATATACTGTATTAACAAAGAATTTTTCAATATATAATTTTTACTTCTTATATTGATTTAAAACAGATGTATTTAATAACAAATATATTCAAATTATTACTTATATACTAAAATTACATGTACATACACAAATAAATATTTTAAATATACATATTCTGTTAAATATTTTTTTTATTTAAAAAAAATATAAGACAAAGAAAGAGATTAGATAATTTTGTATGATATAATGCAACGAGTTGCACAAATGTTTTAATCCGCGAAAAAAATTATAATTTATTAGTATCAAAACAAGAATTGTATGCAAAGACTGTGCAAATTGCAAAAAACAACATTTTTAAACTACTGTTTTGCGCTAATTAACTTATTTAAATTTTTATGCGCCAGCCACAGGTGGACATCTAATAGAATTCAAATCAAGTCGGGCAAGCGTTAATGCGTCGTAAATGCGAGCAATTTACATTAACATCGCATTTGTATCGATTAGCTACACGCGACGGTATACAACAATGTTGCGCATTGAACATGTAACTACTTATTTATACAGTAAACTAATTAATTAGTTTATTATTGGTAATATAATTATCATAAAACAGAAAGAAATATTATTATTTTGTGTTGTAGTTTTATTTAAATTGCAGGCAAATAGCAAATGTTTGAAAAACAAAACCGAGTTCCGTCTCAACTAAACGTGAAATTCTGGCAGAAGAAAATTCACGAGAGACTTTCACCTCAATGACAGGTTGGCAACGTCGTCGAATTGTTGAAATTTGAGAATGCAGAGATGTCCGAGCTTACTGGCACAATTTGTCGAGTTGCCCTCACTTGGCATCTAAATTCAAGCCGACTGAAGATCTGCAGTCCTCCAGGATTGCTGAATCACTGCGGAGTCGTTGTTTTTCCTATGATAGTTCTTCACGTGCGAAACTACACGTCTCGTGTGTTTATACAAACCTGAATACTGGTGAAAATCTAATATTAGCTAAAATAAACAGTCACGCGGAAACTTTCGCAGAATCAATCAGTTCGATGTTATGTAATATCAGCACGAATCTTGCATTTCTACACATATATTGAAACAGCATGTAGATAATACTACTCTCAATAGATGTTCGGAATTACAGAACGCGCGCGAAAAGTTGAGTTACTACTGACCGGAATCGCGCGATAGTGAAGAAATATATTTGCGCTAAACTGTAAAATATTTGCAGAAACACATATTGACGGAGATATTTTCTTCTTTGCCGAAATTTGAAAACAGACACCTGAATCAACATCGTGTGCACTTTTCCGCAGAAGCAGCTCCACGTGCGTTTTGCGCAAGGCCGCTCATGATTCTGACAGATTTGTGCGCCCGAAAGAGCCTTCAAACAAAACTCGAAACTTCCGAGACAAAGATCCCGACATCACAGAACAAAGCCAACTTGTACGTGATCCACACGATGTGCACAATAACGACAAAACAATTCGCTACAACGCGTAAAAGGATGTTAATTTTGAGATCGTAAAAAAGTGGATCTGTTTTATCGATAAAACTGACTTTTTTTGTGTATCTTTTTTTTAGCTGAATTGTAAAAAAGCTTAGATTGCAAAAAGCGATTTAAAAAAAAAGTAGACTGTAATCGAGGCTCGAATATTTGTGAATTGAACGACATTGCTATGTAACAGAAAAAAACAAAAAGAAGAGCAGTCGGAATCGCGGGCAAGGGCAGACGGTAGCAAGCGAGCGTGTAGACAAATCGGATCGGAAATAAAATTGTATTAATTTGTACCAAAATCTTGTCTCTCTTTGTTCTGACTTACAGTATAAATTAATAAATCCTTTTTTACAATTAAAGTACATACAATAAAAGATCCCGAAAATCTAAATTTATATAACACAAAATTTAAAACCTTGAAATTTTTTAAACATGTTTTTCATTTTGTTTTATAAAAAGTGACACCAACAATTGTCCATTTTAGGATCTTCGAATTTTGAACCATAGTGTGCTAAATGATAGCTTATAATGAGACATTGATCATAGAAAAATTTCACATTGAGCCTACTCTTTGTTTCGGAGATAAGCGAGGTGAAAGTTACTAAGTTGGGTAAGAAAAGAGTATCGCAACATACGTCACAAGTAAATCTACGGAAATATCTATCGGAAATCACCGATTTTGATGGGACAATTTTACACACTTGTAAAACTATAACAAATATCTCATCGTAAGCTATCATTTAGCACACTATTTGGTTTAAAATTCGCGGACCCCAAAACGAGCAAAATTTCACCTCTTTTTGGTGTTACTCTGGACTTTCCAGATTCTCTCTTTATTGTACTTTACTTGTAGATAAGGATTTATCAATCTATACAGCCAAAAACAAGTTTAGTGTGCACAAAAAATTCAGTTTTATCGATAAAACAGACCCACTTTAGGATCCCTTTAACTCTGTTTTAAATTTAGCTTTAATAAAAATAAATATTACAAATAAATTTCTATACTGTACAAAAGCTGGAAACAAACTTTTTTATTTTTATTTTTTATTAAAAACTCGTAAAATTAAAACTTGATTTTGCATAACTTTACCGATAAATTATACTAATACACTTTTCATATTCACGTAGAAAGCTCGTAGAAAAAAACAACATTTTTAACAAATTCGAATCATTCCTGTAGGGCTCAGTAATATATTATGTGGATTATGATCTCTCGGTAAGCTTTTCGTGTGATAAAAGGGATACTCGTCTCTCTCTCCGTGGCTTTGGAGAGAGCCGGATCACAGTTTGGAAATTCTATAGTGATAACTCGATTTAAACTGAGAGTCAACTCCTGCCGCTGAAACATCGCGAACTGCGTCGGACTTGAAATTAATAGTAACTTCTGTGTTTGGAAGCGTATCCGAGTACTTTGTGACTGCACGAAGCAAAATCTCGACGGTAATAAGTACTTAAGATAATTTTCATCGAGGACACTTTGACTCCAATCAAGTTTCCGCGTCGGTAAGGAGCCGGCTTTAAATTTTGTCCTCTTGGAAATCTAACTTTTATCACCGAGGTTACCGGGCGTTTCCTCAATGCTGTTCTATGTTTTTTTCATCTGGCGCATCACACACACACACATAACGAAGTTTTTATATTTTACGTCGCATTTGCATAAACAAATAAAGAGAGAAAGAGAGAAAGAGAGAAATAGATAGATAGATAGATAGATAGATAGATAGATAGATAGAGAGAGAGAGAGAGAGAGAGAGAGAGAGAGAGAGAGAGAGAGAGATATCCATAAGCAGACAAGAGCGCAAGATCGATGGCTCAATCGCGTAGTTTTCCGGCTTGTATTTTCCCGGATTCTAATTCCGGTGACGGCGGCTGACATTTTTCACCTCGATGTGCTCGACTCGATCACACACGTACGATGCACACACACGAACGCAATGCGAATGTGAACACGTGACACTTCGGACAGTGGTAAATCGGTCAGGCGATTTCACGTGCTCTGTACGAGACCGAAATCGCGGAGAGGGGAGATAGCGACGATGATGGTGATCCAAGGAGATTATTGGAATCATGCCAAGATCCCTTTCAATATGAACCTGCCACGTCAACCCTACATCTCCTCGCGTTTATCCGATCGCTCGACACACGATGTGTAACGCGCACAATGGCCTAGAGAAAAATACGTCGGCCAGATAAAAAAGGCCAGGTGATAGGGACGCCCCGCTTTTGTCACCAGGACTTTTTGCGACGGAATTAAGTATACATCTTGTCAGATATAAAAGGGTATAAAATCGCGCGTAAAAAATATGTGTCGCTCCAACAATACACGTAACATATAATGACGCAATTACATCTCCAAATCTATTAACGCTTCAGAATCTCGTAATTACTTAGCATGTTTTTTGCGAAACAGCACGAACTAATTTGCCAATTTCTGAGACACATCCGTTTGAAGTGCCACAACGATTTCAACATTATATGAATTGAGGAGAAAGTTTAATTCTTGACAAACATCTCGCCAAACTTTCTATTTCCCTTTATCCATCGTTCCTCGCACAGTTTGCCTTTCCTCCCAACTACCCAACTGTCCTTTTTTTCCTATTCTGCGAGTAGAAGATTGGCGTTCGAAAAGTCTGGTGATAAATGAGCTATTCTGAATCGAAGAACGACCCCACTCCGCTCTATCGTCTGTTTTATTCCGGTTCGATCTTGTCTTCGATTCGCGGCGCTCAAGATCTAGGCAAGGTTCCGCACTTCTCTTCATCGCAATCTTAATTCATCAATATGTCAGCACGGCCTCGCCGAAAACCGGATGTTCCGTACCGAAGGCGGAGGTTTGAAGAGGGATCGTTGCGGTGTAACGTTGCCGTACAAAACCACCGATCCATTGTTCTGGCTAAGAAACACCCGTTGCCCTGATCCCTCGTTGGTGTTCTCGATGTACTATAAAATGGCGGGTTAAGTTCATGAACGTTAAATTAAATTCAAGCGGATCTTATATACATCTCTCTCTCTCTCTCTCTCTCTCTCTCTCTCTCTCTCTCTTTCTTTCTCTCTCCGTTGTATCTCTAATCTCATTACACCATCAGTTACTTACGGTAAAATAGAATACGTAGGTATATTTGCATGTATGTGTGATGGAGCGCGAGTGAGAACAGAGAGCAAGCACACTTTGTTTTTTCCTAGTACTATTAGTATTATTTGTACATTAAAAATAATTGTTGTATATTAAAAATATTGCATATATTTAACTTTTTAAAACGTTTCTGTTTAAGTATGTATCCTGTAAACTTTGGACACGATTTTATTATTGGTTAAAACGTTACAAAAACTCTGTGAAAATTCGTGGGACTTCATTCAACATTCTATATTAAAAAAGAATAACATTACTTTTGATATAGTTTTTATTTGTGTGTTTAGAAATTCTTTCTTTAGAACTACAGTTCTAAATTCTTCCACTAATTAATAAGATTTTCTCATTTTCGAGAAGAACCGATTCATAGAATCAAGGTTAAACATTATATAACGTTTTCTTAATAATTAATTTAATTTATTTTTTGTTCGGATATTTTTTTATAAAATATCTGTTACATCATACGCACATAAGCTTCGTGAAGAATATCGGTGCTGACAAGACAGGCGCTTTCTCACCGGGGATAGATTATGAAAATTTATGGTCCTCATGTGTAAAACACACAAAATGTTATTTTTGTTTTGGATGTTTGTCGGACGACAAACACTTTGCCGTGAACTAACCAATTTTTCAACAAGACAATCCGAGCAGCAATAATATGATTAATTATTTTGCATTGTACTCACGACAAGATTTATAATTCAAAGAAGGATTTTCTCCCAGCTGTAATTTCGAAAAATCGAGCAATTAGTGTCAGAAGACAATCTCATCTTGTTAACGATAAAAGCGCTAAATTGTGCAACTAAAATAAAATATTCTCTTCTCGGTAATAATTGTTTTCCTCTTAATAAAAATCCTACCAGAAAAAGCGTGTGCAAATAATCAGAATCGATTCTATCGATCTTGATTGTTGCCTCTTTTCCGCGTTACCGATTGGTTGGTTGGTTGATCGAGTCGAATCGAATCGGCAAGATCGAGAGAGTAAATAATGAAAAGCGATTTTTTGAGACAGTTCGTCGTATATGTAGAGAAAATTAAAAACGTAACTAAAGTCACGTGACAGGAAAGAGTAGAAAAACAACACGTGAAAATAACGTGACTGTAACTTATATTATGTATAACATTAAATAATACATATTATACATATAATTTATTATATATTTATATAATATTATACTTTATATTGTATTATATGTATTATATACATACTACAGAGTAATGTCACTGACCTCCGCCGCGCGACTTTGGCTGGGTCACTGACCTCAGCCACGCGGCCTTGGCGGGGTCACTGACCTCGGCCGCGCGGCCTTGGCGGGGTCACTGACCTCGGCCGCGCGGCCTTGGCGGGGTCA